CCCCCTTTCGCCCGACCCGAGACCCGGGCTCCCGGGGGAGCGGTTTGGGGAGGGGGGAACATCTCACACGCCGATGAACCCCAACGGGGCGGCGGATCAGTCTGGAGAGTGGGGGTCGCCAGAGATAGGGAGCTCGATATTCCCTACTTGCTGTTTGATGACTGCTCGGCATTGAAACGTTCATTGTGTGAGACTGGAAGTCCACCAGTGCAGCAGCTGCAAACTTGGAGAGCCCAAACCTCTACACACCCTGGTTGCCCGTCCTCCAGCACCTCCCGCAGCAGTTCTCTCTCATCGTCTATTCTTTCCATCCCCTTCCCCTGCAACTCGTTCGTACCCTTCCCACTCTCTCGAAGTATCCACCAGCCGATTGGGCTCAGAACTGAGCTCTGGAGGGAAGCCAGCGGATGATTGCGTGGGGGGCCCATTCCCGCATTTCTCTACAGCGGTTTCTCTCACTCTCGTACCCCGCACTATTTCTAAGTCGGGCGTGTCCCTCTACAGGAGGAATGTTCAAACATGTTTTTTTGTTTGGGGGGGGGGGTTGTTGTAACATGTTTCTTAAAAGGCAGTATGGGGACGATCTTTGATTAATATGTGTGTATATATATATACATGTATACCGATACGACCACCCTGCGGGTGATAAGGAGGTTGTGGGGGGGGTGGGGGGAAGGGGGGTGGCTCATGACGACAACTGTGATGAACGTGGTGCTGATGGGCGATGATGGTGTGGATGACGTGGTGGATTTTTTTTTGTTCCTTCGCTTGGGCGACCTGTGTCGTTCGGTTTGCTTCTGCGCGACAATGATGAGCAACCATGATGAGCACCCGGCGGGACAATGATGAGCAACCATGGTGAGCAACCATGATGAGCAACCATGATGAGCAACCATGATGAGCAACCATGATGAGCAACCATGATGAGCAACCAGCGGGCAACCGACGGGACAACGTGGGCTACCGCTTGACAAGGCCGGGGGGGGGAAACATTTGTGTTGGCGGACCCCTAGCGACAGCAGAGTGAATTCCCCTCGCTGGCCCACGCAGTTTCGCCTCGCCCGCACGCACGGCACGAGCACGAACTCGAAACTCGATTTCCCGGTGGGGGGACTCCGTTACACTGCGATCTCACCCCCCAACCTCCGATATAGATGTGTTCCGTCCAAAATCCGCCTGTAGGGGGACAGGCCCGACTCAAGCGCAGCACCGTCGAGTCACTGGCTCAGGATCGAGCCCGGCGGGAGCAGGGCCTCTGCTCTCTCCCTTCCCCCGCTGAGGCCGAGGATCTGCCCGTGACCTCCTCACGACTGAGCCTCCGCTAGGCTGACGTCGGGCCGGTCCTTAGTGGGCCTTGGAAACGACCGGGCCGTTTTTGTTACGTTCCGTTTTGCCGTTTTTTTGCCGGTTCCGACGCCGTTTTTTGTTTACCGGTTCCGTCGCCGTTTTTTGACCGGTTCCGGCTCCGGTTCCAATCCTGGGGCCGTTTTTTTGCCGTTTCCAGTTGCCGTTTTTTTGCCGTGCCGATTTTCAAGGGACATTTTTCTGGAAACGGTGAAAATAACGGCCCTGCCGTTTCCGGGGCCCACAAAGGGCCTGTCCCTCTACAGGCGGAAAATTCAAAAATTGTAAAAATTAGGCTAACGGCGTTCCCCACATAATGATGCTACGGGGCGATCGGGATCAAGGGGCATGTTGTAATGAAATGGCCGACCTGCCCTCACCCCTTTCCATCCTTTTCTATCACCCTCCGTTTTCTCATCTGTCTCTTCTTCGTCCTCGTGCTTCTCCCCTATCCTCTCCTCCTCCTCCTACTCCTCCTCCTCCTCGCCCTCCTCTTCCTCTTCCTTTTCCTCATCCTCTTCCTCGTTCTCCTCCTCGTCCTCCGCCATCTCCTTGTCTTCCTCGTTTTCCTCATTTTCCTTCTCTTTGTCCATTTTGTCCCCCTCTCCCCCTCCTTTTCCTGATACCCTCCTCGCTCTGGCAGGGCCTCCCTGGAGGGGTGGGAGGGGCACGAAGCCTGATAAACACAATGGTGTGGCGATACCCTCCTCGCTCTGGCGGGGCCTCCCCGGATGGGTGGGAGGGGCACGACATCTGATACAATAATATGGTGTGCGGATACCCTCCTCGCTCTGGCGGGGTCTCCCTGGAGCAGTGGGAGAGGCACGAAACTTGATACATAATATGGTGTGGCGATACCTTCCTCGCTCTGGCGGGGCCTGCCTGGAGGGGTGAGAGGGGCACGACACCTGATAAATAGTATTGTGTGCCGATACCCTCCTCACCCTGGCGGGGCCTCCCTGGAGCAGTGGGAGGGGCACGAAACCTGATAAATAATATGGTGCGACCTTCCTCGCTCTGGCGGGGCCTCCCTGGACGGGTGGGAGGGGCACGACAACTGATAAATAAGATGGTGTGCCGATACCCTCCTCGCTCTGGCGGGGCCTCCCTGGAGGGGTGGGAGGGGCACGAAGCCTGACAAACACAATATGGTGTGGCGATACCCTCCTCGCTCTGGCGGTGCCTCCCTGGAGCAGTGGGAGGGGCACGAAGCCTGATACATAATGTGGTGTGCCGATACCCGCCTCGCTCTGGCGGGGCCTCCCTGGAGCAGTGGGAGGGGCACGAAACTTGATAAATAATCTCGTGTGCCGATACCCTCCTCGCTCTGGTGTGGCGGGGCCTCCCTGGAGTAGTGGGAGGGGCACGAAGCCTTCCTCCCTGGAGGGGTGGGAGGGGCACGACACATGATAAATAATATGGTGTGCCGATACCCTCCTCGCTTTGGCGCGGCCTCCCTGGAGGAGTGGGAGGGGCACGAAGCCTTATAGATATGGTATGGTATAGTATGATCGGCATGGTATGTTAGAGGATGTAATGGTATGGTATGGCAGTTATGGCATGGTATTAGGGTATGGTACGTATGGTACGGTATGGCAGGTATAGTATGCAATGGTAGGTATGGTAGGGTAAGTATGATATGGTAGGTATGGTAGGGTAGCAACGGGTAGTGGTAGTGGTAGTGGTAGTGGTAGCACAGCAGCAGCACCGGAGGAGAAGGGAGGAGGGATGGAGAAGGAAAGGGTGTTATTGAAACACAAGAACACCACTCAGGATGTGGGGAATCATATGGTGTGGCGATATCCGCCTCGCTCTGGCGGGGCCTCCCTGGAGGGGTGGGAGGGGCACGTAGCCTGATAAATGATATGGTGTGCCGATACCCTCCTCGCTCTGGCGGGGCCTCCCTGGAGCAGTGGGAGGGGCACGAAACCTGATAAATAGTATGCTGTGGTGATGCCCTCCTCGCTCTGGCGGGGCCTCCCTGGAGCAGTGGGAGGGGCACGACATCTGATACAATAATATGGTGTGCGGATACCCTCCTCGCTCTGGCGTGGCCTCCCTGGAGCAGTGGGAGGGGTACGAAGCCTGATACATAATATGGTGTGCCGATACGCTCCTCGCTCTGGCGGGGCCTCCCTGGAGCAGTGGGAGGGGCACGAAACCTGATAAACAATATGGTGTGCCGATACCTGCCTCGCTCTGGCGGGGCCTCCCTGGAGGGGTGGGAGGGGCACGAAGCCTTCCTCCCTGGAGGGGTGGGAGGGGCACGACACATGATAAATAATATGGTGTGCCGATACCCTCCTCGCTTTGGCGGGGCCTCCCTGGAGGAGTGGGAGGGGCACGAAGCCTTATAGATATGGTATGGTATAGTATGATCGGCATGGTATGTTAGAGGATTTAATGGTATGGTATGGTAGTTATGGCATGGTATAAGGGTATGGTACGTATGGTATGGTATGGCAGGTATGGTATGGAATGGCAGGTATGGTAGGGTAAGTATGACAAGGTAGGTATGGTATGGTAGTAAAGGGTATTGGTAGTGGTAGTGGTAGCACAGCAGCAGCACCGGAGGAGGAGGGAGGAGGGATGGAGAAGGAAAGGGTGTTATTGAAAAACAAAAACCCACTCAGGATGTGGGGAACCATATGGTGTGGCGATACCCTCCTCGCTCTGGCGGGGCCTCCCTGGAAGAGTGGGAGGGGCACGAAACCTTATAGGTATGGTATTGTATAGTATGATAGGCATGGTCTGGTATAGTATGTAATGGTATGTTATGGTAGTGATGGCGTGGTAGCAGGGTGTGGTACGTATGGTATGGTATTGCAAGTACGGTATGGAATGGTAGGTATGGTAGGGTAAGTATGATATGGTAGGTATGGTATGGTAGTAAGTGGTAGTGGTAGTGGTAGTACAGCAGCAGCACCGGAGGAGGAGGGAGGAGGGATGGAGAAGGAGAGGGTGTTATTGGAAAACAAGAGCACCACTCAGGATGTGGGGAAAAATTGTATGGGGACGATGCTATGACTATTCTTGACTGGTTTCAGCATGTTTGACCATTTTCTATCTTTCATCCAAAATCCGCCTGTAGGAGGACACGCCTGACCTAAGACTAGGCTGCAAATCATGAGAGGTTGAATAGTTCTGCGGCCCTGGTATTTCGTTGGTGCTAATCTGGCCGGATCTGAGCGAATCTGGCCGAGCCTGCGCCTGCTGAATCGGCCCAGCTCGGCTTGGTCAAGACTCAGTCCAGCTCCATCGCTTCCTGACCCAGATCCTCATGGTGCCCGCGCAGGCCTCCCAAGAATTGCAATCACATCGGTCTCCATGTTCTGCCCGTCCGTGCGTCCGTGCGTTGCTCCCCCAACCATTCGGCAACCATTCGGAGATATCAGGGGGCCTTCCAGGCCGCGGTTCCGACAGCACCCCCCTCTCCGAAGCCCGGCCCTTCCTCCCTGTCTCCACTGATCTCCGTCCTCACTTCAGGCATTTCGCAAGGCTGGAAAGTTGTGCGTCCCGATTTGTCCGACGCCCTGGACTGAGGGTTCTGCTTCTCTCCTCGATCAGGGATCTAGGACCAAGCTTTTTGTTTGGGGGGGAGGGGGTCTGGGGGCTTTGGAGGGGCTCGTGCGGTGCGCCCCCCCCGCGTCGGCGAGGCCCTGATCGCCGTGGGCATCCAGATGAGCGAGCGCAACCAGGCGGCGCCCCGAGCGGCTGGGCGGAGGAGCAGGCGAGGACGAGCAGGAGTTAGAGGAGGACAGGAGGACGAGGAGGAAGAGGCGGAGGAGGAGGCGGAAAGGGAGGAGGATGAGGAGGAGGAGGAGGAGCAGGAGGAGGAGTAGGAGGAATAGGAAGAGGATAAGGAGGCGGAGGCGGGGCATGAGCTGCGATGAATAGGAGGAGGACGAGGAGGAGGAGGAGGAGGAGGAGGAGGAGGAGGAGGAGGAGCAGGAGCAGGAGCAGGAGCAGGAGCAGGAGCAGGAGCAGGAGGAGGAGGAGGAGGAGGAGGAGAAGAGAGGAGGCGGATTGAGCAGAAGGAGGGGGGAGGCGGAGGAGGAGGAGGAGGAGGAGGAGGAGGAGGAGGAGGAGGAGGGCACGGATGAGGACGCCGAGGGGTAGGATGCGGATGAGCATGAGGAGGCGAGATATGGGGGGACGGGAAGGTGGTGATGATGTTGATGATGTTGGTGTTGATGATGATGTTGATGATGATGATGCTGCTGATGATGATGATGATGAGGAGGAGGATAATGACGATGATGATGATGCTGATGATACTGACGATGCTGATGCTGATGCTGATGCTGCTGATGATGATGATGACGATGATGATGCTGATGATGATGATGATTATGATGATGATAATGCTGCTGATGATGCTGATGATGATGTTGATGATGATGATGATGCTGATGATGATGAGGATGATGATGATGATGATGATGATGATGATGATGATGATGATGATGATGATGATGACGGTGATGATGAGGAGGAGGAGGAGGAGCAGCAGCAGGATTATCCTCTCTGTCTCTCCTCCTCCTCCTCTTGCGGACCCCCCACTCCTCATCCTCTGAGGCTGAGCGTTAACTCACGCCCAGACGAATGCAAGAGTGCCCATCTTCTTCGTGCCTCTCCTTTCCTGCTCTCCCCCTCTCCCATCGCGCGAAGCGGAGTCGGCAGAAGGCGGCCCGGAGTAATGTCTTTCTGTTGCTGGAGCAATCGTGGGACTCCCATCTCGATCTTGAGGGTTCTTGTTCAGGGCTTTTTGTCAGCCTGCTATGAGTCCTTTCGCTGCATCGAATCGACGCAAAGCGAAGCGAAGAGGAGGAGGAGGAGGAGGAGGAGGAGGAGGAGGAGGAGGAGGAGGAGGAGGAAGTGGGTGGGAGGAGGAGAGGAGGAGGAGGAGGAGGAGGAGGAGAGGAGGAGGAGGAGGAGAGGAGGAGAGGAGGAGGAGGAGGAGGAGGAGGAGGAGGAGGAGGAGAGGAGGAGGAGGAGGAGGAGAGGAGGAGGAGGGAGAGGAGGAGGAGGAGGAGGAGGAGGAGGAGGAGGAGGAGGAGGAGGAGGAGGAGGAGGAGGAGGAGGAGGAGGAGGAGGAGGAGGGAGGAGGAGGAGGAGGAGGAGGAGGGAGAGAGGAGGAGGAGGAGGAGGAGGAGGAGGAGGAGGAGGAGGAGGAGAGGAGGAGGAGGAGGAGGAGGAGGAGAGGAGGAGAGGAGGAGCGAGGAGGATGAGGAGGAGCAGGATCCTGCAGGTTTTTTTGACCTCGTCCTCCGTCCAGCCTCTCAGGGGCGGCCGCTCGTCGAGACCTCCTCCCCGAAGGAGGAACCCCCTCCCCCGGAGGCCCAGGCAGTGACACTGGACCAGTTGGCCCTGGTACGTTCCAGGCTACGCAGGGAGGAGGAGGAGGAGGAGGAGGAGGAGGAGGAGGAGGAGGGAGGAGGAGGAGGAGCAGGAGGAGGAGGAGGAGGAGGAGGAGGAGGAGGAGGAGGAGGAGGAGAGGAGGGAGGAGGAGGAGGAGGAGGAGGAGGAGAGGAGGAGGAGGGAGGAGGAGGAGGAGGAGGAGGAGGAGAGGAGGAGGAGGAGGAGGAGGAGGAGGAGGAGGAGGAGGAGGAGGAGGAGGAGGAGGAGGAGGAGGAGGAGGAGGAGGAGGAGAGAGGAGGGTGAGGCTCGCACCCTTTCTGCTTCGGAGGGCTTAGGCTGACTCCCCAGCGGAGCATTGCTTGCGTCGTGCTGGCAGGTCCATCACTGCCAGTGCCGGGGCTGTGGGGGGGAAGCCGTCGATGAAGATCAGGAAGGCGCCCTCGTGGCCCCGGTCAGGGCGCGTGCACTGGGGAGAGGCACCTTTTTGTCGGGGGCGGCAAAGAGGGGGCTGATGACTAGGGGGGGGTGGATAACATGGCGGGGGCCATGATATTTCCCCAGATTTCATGGCGCCTCTTCTTATTTCACTGCGTCCCTGGCCTCCCCGCTGGGCCGCGCACCTGCCGCCGGTCATGATTTGCACCCCGCCTCTTGGACACCTCCCTCTTGGCCGCTCCCGGCTTTGCCAGCGCAGGAGGCGGATGATGGAGGGCGGGAGGGGGGACGGGGACCTCCGCGCCACATGTTTCGACTCGGCCGGGCACCCTCGGCAGCCGGCCATGCGGCGCGCAGTCAGAGCGGCGAGTTGCCCACCACCCCCTCGCGCTGCGAAATGTCACGACGGGAGGGTTGTCGCTAGTTTCGGCCTCTGGGGGGGGCCCCTGCCAGGCCTCGGGACCGTCGCAGAACGGCCCAGGAGAAAGTCTTCCTCCATCCCTTCCGTGGGTGTGGGCTCCCGTGCGTACGCAGGGCATTCACAAATCGCACGTCTGGCCGGCGATGTCTTGGGGCTAGATGCCACCAGCGTCCCGGCCAGAGAGCGCGCAACCCACGAGGGCGGGCGGGCGGGAACAAAATAACATTTCCGCGCCCATTGCGCCCTGCCGTGGGCGCGAACACGGCATCCCTCCGTGGCCGCCACACCGTCGGCGTCTCAGTGGACGCGACGACTTTACAGAACACCGTTGGCGTCTCCGTGGACGCGACGACGCACGAAGCCGCCATCTCCACGAGACCGCGGCTTCCAGAGAACCACCAGGCACCATGTGCCAGAGGCTTGTTAGCCACCAGCTCCTGCGGAGCAGCAAGGTGCGTGAAACAGGGGCCACCTGCTTTCTCTGGAAAGCACCAAGCCTGTGAGCTGAGCGAAACTGTCCACACGGAAATATACATGGACCGCAAACCGAAAAGCCCCCAGAGGCCAGGAGAAGGAAAGTGGAAGACGAAACGCTCATTCGTCATATTTTCCTGCTCTCCAAATCGCTCCGCGATTTAGGAGCGAAGAAGATCTTCCTCCATCCCTCCCGTGGGTTTGCGCTCCCATGCGTACACAGGGCATTAACAAATCGCATGTCTGGCCGGCGATGTCTTGGGGATAGATGCCACCAGCGTCCCTGCACCCCAGGACATCCTGGACAGACACATCCTGTGCAATCTGCCGGCCCAATGCACACAGGTATGTGTATACCGTATACCACATGGTATTTGTTCCCCTTGCCCTTTTTCCTTCTCAGTCCTCGCCGGAAGACTCCGAGAACTCTATTAAGAATTCCGCTTCGGCAAGCGTGCCCCGGGCTTTGGCCGAGGCGTACGCGAAGGCGGTTACGCCCCGCCAGCCGCCTGATATTTCGGACCCCCTCTTCGACGGGGCGCCTGAATAAACCGAACCACCTTCAGCTCCAATCCAAAGAACGCCCCTAATTAACTGAACCCACCCAGTTACAAAAAGGGCGCCTTAAACAACCGGACCCAGGGGACGATTAGTAAAGGATTTGGGATACTTTTCAGCATTTGCTAAACGTGTGTTTTGATTGTTTCTGATGTTTCGTCCCAGATCCCCCCGCATAGGGGGACATGCTAGACCGAAGGTTGGCGGTCGCCCGCTCGCCGTGCCGCGGATCTCGTTCTGCCCCGCTGTGCTGGCTTGGTTCAGCGAATTGTATCTACCATTCAGTGGTGCATGCCATTCCACAGAAACAGAGTATGGCATCCGCCTGTAGGAGGACGTGCTCGACCTGACCCTACCACGTGCTGTCCTCGCTAGCTGGAGCTGGCCCGTCCCCTGGATCGGGGCGAAGGCGTGTGTGGCGCACGGGTGCGGCCTGTTCCAGGCACGATCGAGATCAGGGAAAAAATGCACTAAGTTCCTCCTCTTCCTCCTCCTACTCCTCCTCCTCCTCCTCCTTCTCCTCATCCTCCTCCTCTTCCTCTTCCTCCTCCTCCACCTCCTCCTCCTCCTCCTGCTCCTCCTCCTCCTCCTCCTCCTCCTCCTCCTGGGCGTCGGGCCTTCTGGGCTGCGGGCTTCCAGGAGGGCTCGGGTCGTCCCCCGGTGGGGCGGGGCGGAGGGGGGTCCGCTGGCGGATCGTCTTTATTTTTTGTTCTGCCGATCGGCGCGGGCCCTCGGCCCCCCCCCTCCGCTCCCCCCCCCCCCCCTGGAGTGGATCTTGGCCATTTTGGGCGCCCGTCTCGCGCGGGTGGACTTTGCCCTCGCAAGGCCCAGTGCTGCAGACAGTCGCGCGAAGCAGAGATCCTCCTCCTCCTCCTCCTCCTCCTTCTCCTCCTCCCTCCTCCTCCTCCTCCTCCTCCTCCTCCTCCTCCTCCTCCTCCTCCTCCTCCTCCTCCTCCTCCCTCCTCCGCCCACTCTTCCGCCCGATGTAGAAACGCCGAGTCAAGAAAACGCTCACCAAGCGGAGTGTCATCCGAGTGGGCGCGTCCTGTGAAATTCCAAAATTGGCCGGCCTCTGTAGGCTGTCGCGTGGCCAACAGGGCAGACCTCAGCCAGGCCAGGGCAACAGGTGGAGTCAGTCCATTCATCATCCTTTCGATCATCTTCCTGGTTTTGTGACCGAGTTCAGTGTGTGTGTTTGTTGCTGCGCCGCTGGAGCTTCATGTTGCGGTCAGGCGGCGGTGCGCTTCCGGGGAGGGGGGGGGAGGAGGTCGTACAGGAGCCGCTGTGAGGATCGCGTTGTGTCGACACGGCGGCGACCCCGGCGCGGGCGTTCAAGGGTGAACGCGGAATCGGCCGACGTCGAACGATGTGCGCTATCTGAAAGCCCCGATCGCTCAAGTTAGGATGTTCCAAGCTACTTTAGCCTGGATCACCAGAAAGAATTTCGAGTACCAGCAAAATACCGAAACTCGAAGGTTTTCACGTGTCGGGCCCTGGGAGACACTCGTCCGACACTGTTTCGACACTTTTCCGGGTGCTCGAAAAGATTTCTGGGATGTGGTCCTTTAGTACGATGGGAGCAACATATCGTTCAAGGTTGGAACGATCCACGCGCTGCCAGAACCCATCGCCGACGTCATCGCGACTCGAACCCGCCGCACGCGTTCGCGAGGGGGGGGGCTTCGGATGGCATGGGCGCCGCGGGAGCTCGGTTCCGCACTGCCGGGGTTGTTGATTGTTCTCTCATGCTTCGCAAGGGGACCTCAGAGAAAAGGGACTTTTGCGTCGGGCGATGCCGATGTCTCAAGTCTGGTCGGCTTCGCCCGCAAGGTCGTCGCATGACGCTTTCACTCGCGCTTCGAGGTCTCAAATGCAGCGCCGCGGTCCGAGAAGTCCCTTTCTCTGGCGTCCCTTTCGGGAACGTATCATTCTCTTCCGTTTCCTCGTCCTACACCCGCTCTCGTATTTCACGTTGCATCTTCGGGGGACCTCGCCTGTCCCCCAAATCGGTGTGTTCTTTTGTATGTCCTACGCGGGCTTGGTGCGGACGCGACGTTGACTTAGCGTAGATTCGACGCGGATTCGACATGAATTTGACACGGATCCGACGAGTCCGACATGGATTCGACACAGATTTGATGCGGATTTGGCCGCGACAGGACAGACAAGGTGTCCCGAGCATGAAACATAACGTATTTCTCTTACTCTTCTCCGACGGATCGCCCATCAGGCAGCGAACTGTTTTGCGAAGGACTTCAGCAAGCTGTCGCGGGAGGGGACCGGCCAGGGCTCGGCAGCGGACAGCGCATGGATTTGAATTACCGTCTGGCTTCATTCTCTTGGCGTCGCTCGGATTGTTGCATTTATTCTCGGCGAGGATCCTCGAGGAACATCTTAGACCATTCTGCGAAATATGCACACACTACGGGGAATGGACGTCCGAGCGATGGCGAGTTCTGGAGCAAACAGAAGTGGCAGCACCATCAAGGAAGCCACCCTCAGCGAGCCTCCCCGAGCTAGTGTAGGGAGCTGTCTCGAGCGGTGCGGGGACCACACCACCAGGAGGACCCACCCTGTCTCCTCGCCATCGGGCGCGCGAAGGGCTGGTCTCCCAGGCCGCGCCATCAGGTTGCCGGTCTTAAGAGCCAGACGCAGACGTCGGGAGTTTTTTGTCCGACGCCTGGATCTGCTAGCGGAGACGGCCTTTTTGTCAGATCCGGGCGAACAGCGCGACGGCCAGTTCTCTTTGTTTTATCTACGCTTCCGGCCTCTGGAGGCCCGTTTCCGGGCCCCGTGCCCATGAAGCATCGACTCGGCACGACGAGCCCATCACGGGCCAGGGGTTGGAATCCCAGAGGGCCCACGCCACGATAAAGCTGCGACGCCGGAGGAGACCGGCCTTCTTCAGGAGGCATATGGTGAGGATCCATCGCAGAGCGTTCCAGAGCGCTCTCATCGCGTTCCCCGGGGAGTCGCTGGACGGGCGCGGCGCCCGATACATCCCGCTCTAGTCTAGGGCTGGACCTGAACGCTGTAGTGCTGGACTTCGGCTGTGTTTTGTTTTTCACAGAAGAACAGGTAGAGCAGGGAGGTTCAGAAGAACAGGTAGAGCAGAACGAACCACACAACGAACACAAAACGAGCATCAACGCTTAGGTCCAGCCCTGCTCTAGCCCCACCAGCTTGCGGATGTTACAGGTTTCTGATCTGCTCATACGACTCTGTGCTCATCCTGCCTTCGCCCTGCTTCTGCCTGTGCAGCCGATGGCAGAAGTCTCGCGCTCGCCCGAGATCACGACCTCTTCGGGGGCCCTCCCGCGGCCCTCCCGCGGCCCGGCCAGGGCCACAGTGACGTTCAGCGGCTCTTTTTCTTTTCTCGGACGTGTGCTGCACAATTGGCTTGGCGCTTCTCTGATGCACGCTGCGTTGGTTGAGTTCACGACCAATCGAAGGCACTGCCGTCGTCGTCGTCGTCGTCGCCGTCCGCTTGCGCCTTTGTCGCCCTCGTCGGCGTTCTCGCCACCGTCGTCGACGGCGGCGATGACGACTGCGACGGCGACAGAGACAGCGCCAGCGACGTCGACGGGCAGCGGCCCTTAGCGTCGGTCTCGTTCAACCGAGCCCCATCCCCATTCCCACCCCCTTCGAGGCCCCCACCAACTTACCCCCCCAGTTGGGGATCTGCCCTCGCAGCCCGAAGGGAGGGTAAATCGGCCAGTGCGGCCCAGGCCACGCCGCTGGGGATGGGGATCGGTTAACCGATTTTCACTTGGACGCATTGAGGGAGCCTCTCTCAGGAGGGGAAAAAAACACACAGACACAATTAATCGTTGATTCCCAAGAACATCTGGGAACCTATGGGAAGCGGGGGGGAAGACAAAAACCCAGAAACTATGGGAAAATATGGGGAATAGTTGTATTTGTGTGTATTTGTTTGTGCATCCTGGGGCCCCTTCCCTCTCCGGCTCGGCCGTGGCGTGCCGCGCTGGGGTGGCGGGGGGGCACGGCTCGGCAGGCGGCCCTCCGGGCGGCGCACCCCCCGGCCCAAGGGAGGCAGAGGTACGGCAGGCTCGTGTCGCGTCGACCGGCGGCGACCCCGCCAGCGGCGTACGTTGAACGCCGCGGGCGACCCAGAATCGCTCGACGTGGAACGATTTGGGCGGACGTTTCAGAAACGGTCGATCGTTCAAGGTTGAACGATCCCCGCAGTGTCAGAAACTGACGCTGGGGTCGTCACGACACGATCCTGCCGTACCGAATTACCGTTGCCCTGGGCCTGCAACGAAGTCACTCCTCTTACCGTACACTACATAACTACACCGGAGTCTTGGCGTACTCTTTGGCTGCGGGAGCATGGCGCGAAGTACGCCAGCCTTCATGAGAAGCGTACAGCGGATGGCGCAGGTATTCGGATGTCTGGGCCTCCCTGGAGGCCCTCGTCGCCACGGCGGGGTTCGCTCCGAACTCTTGGCCGCAGCGCACCCCGGGGGGGTGTTCCCAGAGGCATGAAGGGCGGGGGGAGGGTCAGCAGGAGGCGCTGTGTACACCACCGCCGTGCCTGGCCCGGAGGTCGTTGTTGGCCCCGGGGTGGTGTGCAGGCCTTCCCGTGTCTCCGACGATCTGCTTCTGTTGAGTGTGGTGGCCCCCTGCCATCGGGCAGTTCCAGTGTGCTTCCAGTGTGCTGCATGGCGTGAGCTCGATACGCGCGCTGTGGCACGAGAAGCGCCACCTGAGCGTTTTTCATGCAAGTGGGCCCTCGGGGCCAGATGTCTGTCCCCCGGACCGCGGATAATGATTCCGGGGCGAAAGGGGACTCCCAGTGGGGGAGGGGTCGGGACCTCCTCGGGGCCTCGCATGGGAGAGCCACATCGTCCGATGTTTGGGAGCTGGTTTACAGTCAGCCCGTATGTTAACGACGCGCGATAAGGATGCCCGGGCCTTGGAAGGCCATGCCGACACCATGTGAGCGGGGCGGGGCCAGCGAGAGCAGCCAAGGATAGGCCGAAGAGGACAGATACAACGGCAGCCTTGGAAACTTGCTCATCCTCAATGTACGGGTTGACTGTATGGACCCTCTCGGCCTTTGCAAGGACTCGGACAATTATGAACAGCTGGCATAAGTTAGCTCAATATTTCGGAGTCCCACGCAAATTTCTGGGATCGGCGCTGGGACTTCCCCCCTTCCCCTGGCGCGCGCAGCGTGCCAGGGGCGGCGCCGGAGGCGTCGCCAGGTGGATCCAGCGCCGATCCACGAGATATGAGCGGACATTCTCTATTTCAAACTGTTTTGGTCAAAAAAGCTGGACACAATGCCCAAAACAAAATGCGGACTTCTCGATCTCCAGGCTTTGGGACCCCTTCGGACGCTCGTGGCCTCGTGGGACCCCCCCAAGAGGCAGTCGAAATAGACGTTTGTCAGATTTTGAGATTCGGCTCGTCGGTCGATCGCCTAGGAGGCCCCGAGTATGTCCCGAAACGGCCCGGACGTGCTTCCAGACAGTCCGAGAGATAAAGCTGAGAAAACCTCAGAATATTGCCTTCAGAGAGCCTGGTAACGGACCGAGATGGGTCCAAAACGTTCCCCGACGCATTCAACATCTTGACCCATTCGTTGAGGGAGACAGTGGTTCGCAGCAAGGTAGCCCGAGCATGCCCTCAGAGGCCCCCGAATGTCGACCAGGAGGCTCCCAGACCCCCCCAGATGTCCATAAAAAGTAACCGTGAGGCCATCGGCTTTCCCTGGAAGAGCCTCCGCAAAACAAATATGAGGAGGAGGAGGAGGCCGAAGGGTTCTCAGGATAAGGCGAACACGAAGGAGTATGAAGTATGAAGTATGAGGGAAGGAGAAGGAAGACAACTATCATAATGGAGCTACCGCTGTTTCATGTTTTACCTGTTCTGTCATCTCGCCTGGATGCCAAACTCGAAGGACCACGGTAAGAGTCGCGAAGCGCCAGTGCAGTAGTGCATGCATTATGTGGGTACATGCATATGCATGCATAGATGCATGCATGCATGCATATATGCACATATGCACATACATACATACATACAAACATACATCCATATACATATACATATATATAGACATGCATGTATGAATGCACATATGCATGTATATGTGTAGGTCGACACGTCGGTCTGTATGTATGTATGAATGCATGTCGACATGCATGTATGTATGTATGTATGTGTGTATGTATGTATGTACGCAGGTATGCATGCATGTTTGTACGTATGTTTGTATACCTGCATGCATGTCTACATTTCTGCATGTCTGTATGTATGTATGTACGTTTGTATGCACGTCTGTATGTATGTATGTGTGTATGTATGTGTGTATGTGAGCAGGCATGCATGTATGCATGTCTGCATTTTTGCATGTGTATATGCACGCAGGCATGCATGTGTGTATGTGTATGCACGTATGCATGTATGTACGCATGCATGCATCCATGTATGTTGTTATGTGTATGTATGTATGTATCCATATATGTATGTGTATGTAGATATGCATGTAGGTATGCATATATGTATATGTGTGTGTGTGTGTGTTCGCATGTGTGTGTCTATATATATATATATACGCATATACGTACGCAAGCCAGCCAGTATGTATGTATGCATGCATTTGTGTAAACATGCATGCATGCTTGCATGCATTCATGCGTGCATGCATGCATGCAACCATGCACGCATGTGCGCATTCATGTATGTACGTGTGTATGCATGCATGCATGTGTACGCATGCACGTACGTGTGTATATCTATATACATGCATATATGTGTGTGCGTGTGCAGGTATGTATGCATTTCTGCATGCATGCGTGTATGCATGCGTCCATGCATGTGTGTATGTATGCATGCGCTCATACATGTGCTTTGATATTTGTGAGTCGACGGGAGGGCCACAGGCGGAGTGCAACGCCAGCATCTTCCTGAAGGGCATGTGGCGCGCCCGCCCCCGCAGCACACGCCGCGCGTGCCTCTCGCCGGGCCGCCTCCCCTCCTGCGGGTGGCGCTCGGGCCCCGGTTCCCCAGCGTGGAGACGACCTCCCCCCGAAGAGAAGAAGGAGGAGGAGGAGGAGGAGGAGGCGGAGGATGTGTAAGAGGAGGAGGAGGAGGAGGAGGAGGAGGAGGAGGAGGAGGAGGAGGAGGAGGAGGATGTGTAAGAGGAGGAGGAGGAAGAGGAGGAGGAGGTGGTGCAAGAGGAGGTGGTGCAAGAGGAGGAGGAGGAGGAACAGGAGGAGATGGAACCCTGCAGCTTGCGAAGCGGCCGGCCTTCACAGACTTCGACCCCGACCTTGTCAGGACGCCCTGCATCCTCTACGACATGGTCAGCCAGAAGATCGGCCTGCAGCACGTCCACGCACACGAGCACAATCCCTTGAGCGAAGCCGCCGACGCGGCCTCCAACCACGCTCGCATCACCGCAGTTCCAGTTCCACAGCAAGAATGGGCGAGCAAAATGGGCGGCAAGTGTGCGCGAGACAGGGAGTTGTTGCTCGATGCGGACCACAACACCAGGGAGGCTTACCCCACCTTCGGACAGGGCGACCTCATTGCGAGCAACGTCCAGACCGCCGCCGAAGCACGCCACTTCCACAAACCGACAGAATCCAGCGATAGGAAGAATCAATATCAACATCGCGACCTTCAACATACAGACAGGTCGGGAGCCTAAAGAAGGAGCGAAGCGAAGAAAAGAGAACATCAACAAGCTAAAGACCACCATGGCAAGCCTATGCGACGAGGACCTACACATCATCGGCATCCAATCGAGGAGGCCAGGACGCCAGGACCCCAGGCTCCCCATCGTCCGCGTGAGCGCGCCTGGCTCTGCCCAAGTACTTACAGTCGCCCGCGCCCCCCCCACTCCAAAGAAAGCCCTCGAGGATGAGAATCACAGCTTTTGGAAGAGGTTCACCGAGGCGACCGAGAAGTACCAGATCGGAACCATCTTGGCAGACGCCAGCGCCAGAACAGGCGATATCACCAGTACGGCGATCGGCGACCAGGGCATGCAGCAGAAAGATGGCCCAAACGGAAGACGTCGCCCCGAACTTCTCCTTTCCAATCATCTTTTGGCCGCTCACACGTTTGTCAGCAACGGGCCCGAGCACCGCACGTGGCACTCGGGCAAGAACCCTCGCCGCATCGACTGCGTCATCATTCCGAAGGGATACTTGGATTCGGTTGAAGCGTCCTCCGTCCTTTACGGCGTCGATAACGGCTGCGACCCCGACACCAAAGACTAGAGCGACCCCGTCGGGCTGGAGCTCACCTACGGGATCGCATCCTCTTTTGCCAAGGGAGTTCCGACGCTCGACAAGCTCGGGCTGGCCGGCAGTGCCTGCCGCAAGGAGTCCAGCCGCAGGCTCCAGGACATCCAGCGCCCGTCCTGGAACGCCAACCTTAACGAGCACCTCGCAAGCATCGCCGAGAAGACGTCGAAGGCGGCGCGCGGGAGCTTCCTCTCCCACGGCCGTGCCCCTCACAAGCCCTACATCACGAAGCGCTCCTTCGCTCTTCTACGAGCTCGCCATTCATTGCTCGCGGCGGCCCGCGTCGTGAAGAAGAACGGGGCCGCGAATTTCTACGGTGCGAAGTGGCTCCGATACACCGCGAAGCTTCTCTCGCACGGCGCCGTGCTCCCTGACCCAGAGGGCGCTCGTGTTTCTGGCCAGCATCAACGACTGCGCCGAGCTCATCACCGCCTCCGTCATCTTCAACACCCCCTCCCTCAGCCACCAAGCAGGCCGAGCGGCGCCGAGTGTGGAAGCAGCGACACCCAGCTGCGCTGACAACACCAAGGGTTATGACGATGCCATCGCGCAGTTCCCCAGAGCGACTAAGCCGTTGCTCAAGAAATGGATTGAAGAAGACCGAGGCGCCTTCCTTAAGAAGACGGCCGGACAAATTAGCACCGCCATCGGTGATCGCGCCCCGCGACAAGAGGCCCTGCGCGCCAAGCGCCCGCTGGCCTTCGGAGGGCGAAAGCCCAAGAAGCCGCCCGCGCCTATCATCCGCATCGCTGACGACGGCAAGCCTCTCTTGACCAGGACTGGGACCGCCGACCGCGCCCATGCATGTTTCGACAGGGCCGAGGTGGGCAAGTCTACGGGCGCCCCAGGGGTGGCCGAAGACTACAACATGAGAACTAGCGCAACTCGGCCAGCGCCGAAGATCCAACGCATCATCCCGAAGCGCCAGCTCACTAGCCAGCTGGCCGCCGCCAAGCGAGGAAGACCAGTGGGGGAGGCAGGCCAGCTCGCCGACGACGTGTCCAGAGCAAGCCCAGAAGGGATGGCACGACCTCTTCGCCCCGTCCTCGTCGATGCGCGCGTCGAGAGCGCCGAGCCCATTGCCGCTGAGCGCGGGTGCGCCACCCACTTCCACAAATGCCAGGGCGCTGTTGAACCGCAGAAATCATACCGCGGCATCTTGCTCAACAGCGCCATCGGGAAGATGCACGGCAGCTTTCTACGTTCGCGGGTGAAGGGTATTACCTTACTTGTTGCAAGCAACGCAGCGTGGAGCTCGACCTGAGATGGCGACCGATTTTATCGGCCGCACCTCCCTGGCTTCCAATCACCGGCTGCCAGCGACGGGCCAGATATTGCAGCATTGCGTTCCTTGATCTCAAGGATGCATCACACTCCATCACCCGACGAACTCAACGACCTCACCGAACGGGTCGACATCCTTGACCTCCGAAAACCTTCGCTGAAGGACCGATTACAGCACCCTGCCCACAACAACCAACACATCGACGACGAGCACCTCTTCCACATGATCGCCGTCCCCCACATTTCCAACTAGATGACGGCAAAGAGCGCCAATAACTGCCAACTACCACGGACCAGCACTCGGCCTGGCGCGCCGAAATCCGACGTCGCCTTCAACGCGCACTTCACCATCATGTTGAGAGCCACCGACCATGCTGCGACCGCCGACGCAGATGACAAGCAACCGGCAGGTGGCCACAACACCGAGGCTTGCGAGAACCCACTATTCTCGGCTGCGCCTCATGAGGGCAGCGCGCCCAGAAACATGTCCTTTGCCAACGGCCTCACAGATTACAACTCGACCGCCAAAGCCAGTGACCTGATCCAGATGGCGCGGCTATCAGCCACCAGATTGTGATCAGCAGCATACCAGCATGGACTTACGCCGCGCCCAGACAAGACGAAAGCCATAGTCATGCACTATGCCAGCGGGGCCAGACAAGAGTGCCAGAATATCGCCAAGGATTAGTCAAGGTGTAGCTCGTGACCCAGCAGAAGGCCCTCGGGGCCATCGTCGCGGCGGGCGGGGCCATGGGCCCCGAAGTCTGCCTCTGCGTCAACGGAACGCTTGGTTCAGCGCGCCCGATGGAGAAGCATATCCTCCGCAAGACTCCCTCAACGAAGGCCAAGATGACATGCGCCCACGCGCTCCCAACCTCGTCGCATACCTACAGCCGCCACGTCTGGAATGGACTGAACAAGAAGAACCGCGACCACATCGCTGCGAAATACGCGGGCCCTTACCGTGTGGCCGCCTCCTTGCCCATGGCGAATGGACCAGTCAAGCACCCCGCCGCCGGCGAGGTGATTGCGAAGACTCGCGTTCTCGACTTCGGCGCGCGCCAGGCGGCAGCTCGACCGCGCTGCCTACCTCGGCTCTTGAAACGCGCGCCTGTGATCTTACTTCAGCTTCATGATAATCAGCGGCAGCGCTAGGGTACCTGGAGCCGCATGATCAAGCAGGACTTCGCCCTTTCCCGAAAGCATCTCCCGCGAGACAGGTGGCCGAGCAAGGACCTGCAGGACAGCGACATCGCCGCCTGGACCCGCCTGGGGCCCAAGCACTTCACCAACGCGGCCAAGGCAGCTACCGCGGCATACCTGCCCCATATGCGCGACCAGGCCCAGCTGGAGAGGTTCCAGAAGGATATCCAGATGCCCGCGACACCATCGAGCACCGCAGAGACAGTCCAGACCGACGGCGTTGACGAGACGAAATACATACGCTACGTCTACGGCCGCACAGCCACCACGCAGGGCATGGCGGGACACATGGCAAGGGGCCGCCCGGACAGCGAGAAACCCCGACGATGTGCAATGGGTGAGGCGCGTAGATGCTGCCAGGCGGAGTTCCACACCCTCCCGAGACTCCTGAAGCATCTTGCGGTAGCCCGCCACGCGCCATGACGATGGAGCCGCTCGCCGAACAGCAAAGCGCCGAGAACCTCAGCGCCATCGCTGCGTCCACGGCGGCCAACAAGAAGAGTGGCCGACGCGCGACCTTCAGCGAGATATACGCCGCCATCCAGCCGACTAAGCATCAACCCGCGGCACCTAAGACACCCGAGCCAGCAGAGCGATGGGAAGTGATCTTCATCGCCGACCGCCCTCGGCAACCAGGAGACCTCCAACATATCGTGGCTACATGCACAGTTGCCAGCGAGAGCGGTATGGTCTACTGCACGATGGACACAAACAACGAATGCGAAGCACCGACATCAGATCGTGATCTCCAGCTAATACGTGACAGGATCCAGAAGGGTGAGACCGCAGCAATCTATGCCGAGATGCCGAGGAGGACTTGGTATTGCTCCGACCAAGCCGAAGACCCAGCCAGCCGTGCCAGTGCCCGCCGCTCGAAGGTAACGCCGCGGGGGCCAGCCGACGTCGCGGAAAAGGTCGTCGACGAGCTCTGCCCAGCCAGCTCAGTCACTAGAGAAGTCCTCACCATCTTGCACGCTGTCTCCGGAGCGAAGGTTCCTGTCATTGTCATACACGCCGAGGACTCTATCTTCTGGGCGCTTCGCAAGAGCCACCGCGCCATCAAGCGTGCCGCAGCAACGCCCAGCACGGCCAGGCACTGCATGCTTGGCATCATGATGATCACGGCCAACTCTGCAACCCCCATACAGGAAACCCAGTTGAAGGAGACAGCCGCCGAGAACTTCGACTTCGCCGCAGCGGCTCTGCTCGACGACACGATCATCGCAAGGTGGGGCTTCAGGGTGGCAAGCGAAGCACCGACCAGCGACATGCGCGCCAGCTACGATAGGTACCTCAGCTGCTCACATAAGGAGGCTATCGCCAGCGGCGACAACATCAGCAACGACCACAACGACGACCACCAGAGCTGCAGCCACCACGGGCGCGATTGCGAGACGCTATGCCGCGAATATGATCAGAGTGCGCAGGCGGCTATTGCGGATGCCGCGGAGCTCGGTCTGGAATCATATGTTAGGGCGCAAAGTCCGAGTGTGCCATCAGGGCAACTAGGCACGACGTCGCCGCGTGCGCTGGAAGGCATTAAAACGCAAAGCCCTAGTGTTCCATCGCGGCTACTAGGCAACATGTCGCCACGTGGGCATGGGGATCCAGCGGCTGACATTGCTTTCGACGCGGGCGCGGCTGAGGAGTACCAGACAGCAGGACGCCCAATGGCAATTCGACCACAGCACCAGCAGCCCGAAGGCACTCGAGAGGATGAGCTACAACGACAACATGAACATGCACCCGCATGGCAGCCCGCAGCCAGGAGGCCGAAGGGCGGGCTGCAACAATGACATTGCATCAGCCTCGACACAGTGACCGCCGCCACGAGAAGCGAATCCAAAGACTGGGGGCCCGCGGCCTATGAGCGGCCGGAGGGCGGGCCGCCAGCCGGCAGAGGCGACGGCGCCTGCACAGGGGACATGAAGACTACGATGGCAATGGCAAGAACAGTGCGAGGACGGGCAGCCCGCAGCCAACAGGCCGACGGGCGGGCTGCCAGGGCGACAGGACAATCCGAAGGAGATAAGCAAAGGTCTGACGGCCCGCAGCCCAAGAGTGGCCGAAGGGCGGGCCGCCAGACAAAAGAGAAGATGGGGCACCGTGCTCCACGGCAGACGCCCATAAGGGGCCGCCGCCTCGCGCGACGGGCGAGGCAGAGCCGCCGGCCAGCCAGGTCGGCAGCGGCTCATCAAGAGAAAAAACATATAAAAGTGAGAGAAGGTGGACCCCCCCTCGGCTCGCGAGCCGAAAGGGGGGGGGCCGCAATGGAGAAGGACATGATGTGCAGCGCCCACAAGCAGGCGCCCTGAGGCTGCAGCGCCGCGGCGGCGCTACAGAGCCTACATCGAAAGGGTCTCGAAAGAGGGAGTGGGGCCCCTCGCTCGCCAGAGCCGCCATGCCTGGCCGCCCCCCCTGGCCAAAACTCCTTTGCGTTGCCGTCGGAGCGCCTTTCCCAGTGGGTAGCCGCGGCGGCCGACCTCCGCGCGCCGCCGGAGTGGACAGGCGGCAAGGCGCACTTCGGCAGCGTGCAGGGCACCCTCCGACCACGGGCCTCCAACACGTCGGCCCACCAAGCAAAGACTTAGGTTTTCCTTCGATTTCGGTCTCCGGGTGCCCTCGCCAAGCCCGGGGACGTCGCACGCGAGCGACTCAGGGCGAAGTTGGCGACCGCGGGTATCTGGTCGGGTCCTCGGGGTTTGGGCGAGGCCCCCCCTTCGCTGAATGCGATGCGGCACTGACGACTTGGGTTCGGCCCTCCCCGCCCCCCTTTCTGATCCGCGCGAAAGAGGCCACTCCTGCTTAGGGTCGCTTGCGCGCAGCCGATGGGAGCTCTGCCTCGAGGCCGAGCGGTGCTTTGGGGTGCGCTGGCGCTGGGTCCGATATTTCTGCGGCGGTTGCAAGCTACAACATCGTCAAACATCGCGACTGAGGCCCTGGCCCCGATCTTTCTGCGGCGGTTTTCGAGCCAGGTCGACCCGCGAGTGGCCAGCGCGAATCGGATCGGCCGAAGTTCGGCGCATCCGCCCGGCAACGACACGAGGAGTGGGACAGTTCATTTCTGCGGGGACTGACGTCTTGAACACCTGGCCTCGCTGCACGCTGCAGGGAGAGGAGGGTCTGACAGACCCGAGGACTCGGTGAATGAGCCTCGCATGTGTTCCACACCTGTCCTCGCGCATGCTTTCGGAACCTTTCGTCCGCCCAGTGCGAAGACATGGCGACGCCTGGATGCCAGGGCCCGCCCGGCGGCGGCCATCTCTCGGGCCGTCTCGGGCGGGGGCGGCCGCGAACGCGCCTCGCAGAGGCGATGTCCCAGCCAATCCCTCCCGAGTGCAAGACGTTTGGATCAGCTTCACTCGCACTTCATGAACTTGCACCTCGGCGTACACACGAGGACTTCCATGGCCTGAGCGTGGTTCCCTCGCCTCGTCGGCCTGTCCGGCCCTTCCTCGCCTTGCGCGCCCCCTCTTCCCTGTGCTTCGCTCTGCTCCGGCGCGCCCCGCCGTTCCTCGATCGCCGTTTGATCCTCCCGCGGCCGCCCCAGTCAGGAACTTGCTCGCGAGGTGGACCCTCTCGACTGCCGCCGTGGCGTATAGATGCAGTCCGCGGGCGATATTTATGCGCCGTGTCGCGTTGGCGTCTCCCGAGGCGTTGTCGATCTCCGACCCAGGAATGGTGCGGTGCATCGTTCATCAACCCTTACCGTAGACGCGCCGACGGTGTGTTAGCTGACTCCGATGTAGGACAACCAATTGTAGAAAGGCGTGGTCCGTGGCCAGACCAGTTGTAGCAACGCGTGGTTCGTGTTTTTTCTACAACTCGCTGTGTCGTCTTCGCTCGATACATATCTCGTAGCTGGAACGTAGGAAACGGTGCTTCGTGATCATCCACAGACTGTTCTGCGTGAGCTCGGTGTCACAAAAACGAGATTCCCAACCGCACCGTCCAGGGAAACGTAAACTCGAATAAGCTGGAACTCGGGTTCGCCGTTTTTTTTTTTTTTTTTTTTTTTTTTGAAAAGCCCGTCCTGGATTTTGAGGGCCACGTTCCCGCGGGATGTTTAAAGCGGGAGCCCGCGTCCGATTCCAGATTGGGCCTCGCCATTCTCTATGATGGTCCCGTCAGGCCAGCCCGAGCCCCCCCGTACCCGAGTCCCACGTCTCCCCGAACCGTGAAACAGGCACGCCGTTGGCGCGGCCCTGGCCTTCTAGGAACCCAACGGCGGTGCACCGCACCGCGCTGAAGCGGGGCCTGGGCGGAACCCAAGCAGGGCGCGGTGCACGGGCGCCGTTCTCGTGTGCAGGGTGCTGGGCAGACAGGCCGGCTCCTGTTGCCTGTTGTTGCCAGCCAGCCCGCTTGCGCTCGGGTTCGGCCAGGGGCCGCCCCGGCCACGATCGCAGGGCAGCCGTCAGCAGAGGGACGTCCGCAGACCTCAAGCAGGCAGTGGCGAAGCGTTTTGGCTCGCCCATAGGCTACCAGAGAATGCTTTAAGAACGGTTTGGGGTCTGCACGCAAGGTTCTTAGAACATTTCTGGCTGAGACTGTCGTGTTTTGACATCGGTTCTACGAACTAGGTTTTCGAACACTTTCGGGTTATAAGCACATGTCGTGGTAGGCCTCTAGGAATGCCGGGACGGCCGGTCCCTGCTCAAATACCTACTGGGCGGAATTCTGGAAAGGCTCTTTCTGTCATGGCGCCGGGCCCCACATCAACCGAATAGGTATGTGACCGAGCAAATCGACAAGCGAAGCGTGCCCGAGAGTGTAGCCGAAAACGTTCGACCAGAATGGTGACCGAAATTGAAAAGCGCTTCGGGTTCGAACCCATCATGTTCAGTCATTTTCTGGCGCGTTCGGAAAATTTCGGGCGCCCGTGTCGCCCACACTCGTGCAGATCTTCGGGGACCGTTTCAGTCGCTACACCCCAGTCGAACCAGTCTGCGTGACTGTTGAAAAAGGTCGTCGGGCGGTGATTTTTCCTCTGGGTTTCTTGGTGCCCTGGCGCCACCGCGCCGTTCCCAACCGTGGGCCGCCCTTTCTTATGGGGGTTTTGCTCTGACTGCGGTCGCGGCCTGCACTTTGTGTTTTTCGTGGGGGGTATCGGGGGCCCAACGGGGGGGGGGCGGAGGGGGGAGGGCGACGGTGTCGTGCGATCGGGGTGCAGGACCTCCATGCCCGCGGGGGTTGCACGACGGCGTCGCGGCGGCTGTTCTTACAACGCCTCGCTCTCTGGAGGCCGTGTTGTCCACCCTCAGGGCCTCCCGCTTCTCCTCCTCCTCCTCCTCCTCCTTCTCCTCCTCCTCCTCGTCCTCCTCCTCGTCCTCCTCCTCCTCCTTCTCGTTCTCCTCCTCCTCCTCCCCCTCCTCCTTCTCGTTCTCGTTCTCCTCCTCCTCCTCCTCCTTCTCGTTCTCCTCCTCCTTCTCCTCCTCCTCCTCCTCCTCCTCCTCCTCCTCCTCCTTCTCCTCTGCTCCTCCTCCTCCCCAGGGAGGGGCAATGGGGCCGAGACCCCCTGGGGGCCCGCGCCACAAAAACGTACGACGGAGGAGAGGGGGGTCGCCCCGCCCGCCCCGTCTGCTGCCCTGGGCCAGGAACTGGCGCGGGGAGGAGCGAGGGGAGGGGGCCGAGATCGTTCTGCAGGAGGCCATCGGGAGAGACACAGAGGGAGAGAGAGAGAGGGCGAGGGATATATATAGAGAGAGAGAGAGAGAGAGAGAGAGAGAGAGAAAGAGAGAGAGAGAGAGAGAAAGGCGCAGCAAACAACACACACACAACAAGCACAGCATAAACTACACGTGGGCAATGCCGGTTCACTGTCTGCACCCTCGCGCTCAAGCGCCCGCTCCCGCTGAGCTCGTCCCTTGCATGTCGACGTGCCTTTCAGGGACCTGTTTTCGGAAGAAACCGCAAGCGTCTCATCTCAATTCATGTGTTGTTCTTTCTTGTGATGGTTCAGCCTCTCTCACTCTCTGCCTGTCTGTCTCTCTCTCTCTCTCTCCCTCTGTTCCTCTTTTCTGTCTTTTTTTTTTCTGATTCTCTCTGTCGATACATCGATATTTCTATACATAGGTGAACACCTACGCACGTACATATATATATATATATATATATATATATATATACGGAGGTATCGAGGGAGAAATTATCACACTCTAATGTGAAGGCCTTACGGCTGGTGCCGCCGACCGATCCTGTGCGCAAGGGGCAGGCACAGATAGGAAATTCAGCAGGAGAATGAGGAAGAGGAGGTGGAAGATGACGGAAAGGGGAGGAGGGGGGAGGGGCCCTCGAAATCGCTTGTAGGGGCCCTTTTGGGACGATCTTGGGGCGCTCTTGGGCGCTCTTTGCGCCGACTTGGCGGCCTCTTGGGACCTTCTTGGGTCTCTCTTAGGCCATTTTGGGTTCATCTTGGGGCCTCAAGAGGCGATCTGAGTCGAAATAGCCAGTAGGCAACAATCAGTTCCCTTAATTAGGTGTCTCAGGAGTTTTGGCCTCTTGGCGAAGTCCTGTGCTGTTGTGGGGCTTTGTTGGGGGCATCTGAGGCTGTCTTGGGACGGTCTGGGGGCGCTGGAGAGCTTTGACTATTGGGTCGTCTTGCATGTAAGTGGCAAAACATCTACAACGGGCTTGCAATAGACTCTGGGAACAACGTGTTAGTTGGAGGGGAGACGGGGACCCCGCCTGGGCGTGGAAGGGATCAAAGGGAAGGGGCGTCCCTTCGATTGAATTAGGACGTTTATGGGTTCCCTTCGAGAAGACAGAGCAGAGAATTGGCACCTGCCATGTCGGCTGTTCTCTCTTGGTCGCTGCGGGGGATGTCCTCAGGCGGTGCCTTTCTCTTTTACCTAAGCTCCCGCATCGCGCGTTCCAGCGCGCGTGTCAAGGCGACGCCTCTGCCACGAGTGCGCAGACGGGCCCTCGAGCGGCCTGATCACCGCACGCCCGTTGGATTTACAGCAGGGCCCCCCTGCAGACCGCGCCGGGGGAGGGTGATCCCACATCCCCTGACTCGTGGGCGGCGCTTCCCGCCTTGTGAGATAGGCCTGCTGCAGGGCGCTTGTAACCTCAGGGTCTGGAGGGACCTACTGTCCGAAGTGGTGCGCTCTCTCTTCCTCTCTCTTTCTCTCTCCCTCTTCCTCTCTACAACTACTCAATATGAATACTACTCTCCCTCTTCCCCTGATGATGGTTTGAAAGTGTCCGACCCCCCCCCGCGTACGTTTTTTTTACACTGGATTCCCCGGAGTTGGGTTTTCGCGTGCATTTTTTCCAAAATGCTGCTCTCGCTGGGGCGCCGGCCTCATTTTCGGGCCCCGCTCGTTCCGAATCGTGCTCCCGCTGCAGCGCTGGCCTCATTTCCGTGCTTCCGCTCGTTCCGAATCGTGTTCCCGCTGCAGCGCTGGCCTCATTTCCGCGCTTCCGCTCGTTTCGACTCGTGCTCCCGCTGCATCGCTGGCGTCATTTCCCGTGCCATGCTACGGCATGCAATGCAATGCTAGGTTGATGCTACGCTTTGCGGTGCTCGTCTACGCCATGCCATGCCGTGCTCTACAATGCATCGCGTACCCTTTTGGGATCATTGCCCTGCTCGACATCCGACTCTGCGAGTAGAGAGGGGATCTGCGCCATGGTAAGGGATGGGAGGGAGGGGTAGGATGTCAGATATGACGCGAGCGCACCTAGCTTGCCCTCCCCTCTCTCTCCCTTACCATCTCCCTCTACCTCTCTTCCCCTCTCCCCCTCCCTCCCTCCCTCGCCTCAATCCTATTTGTGTATGTACATATCGGAGGCGAGGGGGTGAGATAACCGTGCAACGGAGAGCCCTCACCAGAAAATCGATTTCGGTTTCGTGTTCGTCTCGTGCGTGCGGGCGAGGCGAAGCTGCGTGTGCGGGCGTGAGGGATGAACTCTCCTCTGGCTTGGGCGCCGCCGGGCCAAGAGACCGCCCCCTTCGGATTGTCCGGCGGTGGCCCTGGGTGTCCCTGGGGTGTTCCGCGGGTGTTCTGCCGGCGTCCCGTCGGTGACCCAGCGGTGTCCAGTCGGTGTCCCGTTGGTGTCCCGTCGGTGTCCTGTCGGTTTTCCGTTATGAGGTTGATGGTGGGATCGATAGTGAGATTGGTAGTGAGATCGATCGTGAGATCGATTGTGAGATCGATCGTGACTTCGACTGTGAGATCGATATTGACATCGACAGTGAGATCGCTAGTGGGGTCGATAGTGAGATCGATAGTTGCATCGATTGTTGTATCGATCGTGAGATCGATCGTGATATCGATCGTGATATCGGCAGTGGGATGGGTATCGAGGGCGACAGTGAAGTCGATGGTGAGAGTGATCGTGAGATTGATAGTTATGTCCCGTCGGTGTCCCGTCGATGTCCTTTCGTCGGTTTCACGTCGGTGTCCCGTCGGTGTCCCGTCGGTGTCCCGTAGTAAGATCGACCTCGAGATCGATGGTGAGATCGATTGGGTGAGACGATGGTTTGCCCCTCTCCCGGAACCTCCTTGCTATCCGAAGGGTGGTCGTATAGGCATATGTATATACAAGTGGCACGCGCGCGCCCACGCTCATACAACAAGAGAATTGCAGCACGTAAGTCTTGCAGGAAATTGACAAGCAGAGGAGCATGAAGTCGGATCCGAGGAGGAGGAATGACATACGGAGAGGAGGACAATGAGGATCACCAGGGGGGCTGTTGGAAAGGAGGTGCAACACTGGGATCGCAGTCGAACGCATGTGGGGTTGCAACACCTCGCGATGTGTGTGGCGCAGGCGGTTGCATGTACAGTTGAACAGTAGTTCCGAAGCCGATGTTTGGAGGATGTCTTTAGCGAAATTGCCATTCTGATTCATGTGAAGGGAACTTTTATTGCGTCGGTTTCAATGTCGTGGGGATGTTTCACGCGAAACGGCTCTTTGGCTAAGAGCGACGTCCCAAATCATTGAACACCAGTCTGTTGTTGAAGGTGTTCTGTTCAAATGCTTGATAATGGCTGTGTGCTTGGACCGTGACCTCGCGATCTGCGTGAGTGGTGCGTGCGATTCTCTGAGTGACTAGGATGTCCCGCGCGAAACTGCCAACACACACACACACACAACTCGCGGATGGGATGGCTTCAAGCAATCGCTTCTGAACCAGACTCCGTCGGAGAGGTACGTATGAAACCACACATACCACACCTATGCATATAGTTATACGTGTGTAGATATGTGTAGGTGTGACTGTCTCTATTATATGTGCATCTGTGCAGAGGTATCTCGGTTTCCCCACCCCCTGTCGGCCTCGAGCTTCCAGAGCGTCGCCCGAGCGGCCGCGGCATGGCGGGGGGGGGCGGCTCCCGAGAAGAGGAGCGCCCCGCCCTCGAGGGGACGGCCCGCCGTGCCGCCCTTGCCGCTCCCGCGAGGCAGGCGTTCCGCTTCTTCAAGAAGTCGCCCGAGGAGCCCCGCCGCCCCGCGCGCGCCGGGGGTCGGCGTCCTGGCATCGCTCGGACGTGTGCACTTGTTCTTCGGCGAGGGCCATGGAGGAGCATCCTGGATGACTTCGTGAAACATGCACGCACGAAATCGACAAACACACGAGGAATGGACGTCCGAGCGATGGCAAGGCGTCGCGCTGTCCCTCCAAGAACAGCGTCGGCGGCGAGCGAGGGGGAGGGGGAAATGCGAACGAGGAGGCCTTCTCAGATGGCGGCGGGACTGCTCAGAAGCCCTCGCGCCTTCTGGGAAGTTTTTTTTGTCCCAACCCTCCTGTGCTGCGTTCTCGAATTCAATAGAGCAGTGTGGTATCCACCCTCCTTCTCCCGCCCCCTCGCTCCTGCCTTCTGTGCTTTCCTGCTGTCTGGTGCCTGATTCCTGTCTCGCCGTCTTGTCTGCCGGGTGGCCTTGCCTAGGGGTTGCGATCACTTGGGGGGGGCTGCGACTGCGCAACTGCCACTTTCGTGGGCTCCTGGGAGGCCCAGCGGAGGTACGTCATACGCGGATCACCTCGGTACCTCGCCGCCCCTTGGGGGGCTTGCGATCTGCGCAATTGTCGCCACTTTCGTGGGCTCCTGGGAGGCCCTGCGGAGGTGCGTCATACGCGGATCACTTCGGTACCTCGCCGCGCCCTGGAGGGCCACTTTCGTGGGCTCCTGGGAGGCCCAGCGGAGGTACGTCATACGCGGATCACCTCGGTACCTCGCCGCCCCCTGGGGGGTTTGCGATCTGCGCAACTGTCGCCACTTTCGTGGGCTGCTGGGAGGCCCAGCGGAGGTACGTCTCACGCGGATCACCTCGGTACCTCGCCGCCCCCCGGGGGGCTTGCGATCTGCGCAACTGTCGCCACTTTCGCGGGCTCCTGGGAGGCCCAGCGGAGGTACGTCTCACGCGGATCACCTCGGTACCTCGCCGCCCCCTGGGTGGTTTGCGATCTGCGCAATTGTCGCCGCTTTCGTGGGCTCCTGGGAGGCCCAGCGGAGGTACATCTCACGCGGATCACTTCGGTACCTTGCCGCCCCCTGTGTGGTTTGCGATCTGCGCAATTGTCGCCACTTTCGTGGGCTCCTGGGAGGCCCAGGGAAGGTAAGTCCCACGCGGTGACTAGGTGCTCCTGCTTATCCTTGAGCCCGCGACCTTTTGCTTCCACTTTTGGGTTCTTTTCTTTGGGTTCGCTGTCGCGCCCTTTTGTCTCCACTTTTGGGTGAGTCTCCGCTCCCGTTATGTTCCTCATGCATTTGCCTCTTTCAGCGCAGCGCGTTGCTGAGTTGAACCGATGTTCTGGTTTAGCCCTCGCCGCCCCCCACTTTTGTGGTTCTTTCAACGCCCCTGTGCTTCCATTTTGTACGTTTGCTGTTCCTCTTCTTGATGCTCGCTTCTGATTCCACTCCTGAGTGCTCTTCTTGCGCACTGCCGGTCCTTCAGAATGCCAGTCAGCATTGAGTGGTCCTGAATAGAAACACCACGTGTATAAAAAGGGTTGGGCACGTCGCAGGTAAATGTTTGTCTTCGGGAGAGGCCGAGGAAACCTCTCAGCAGGCCGGGGGGCCTCCGAACCTCCCGAGAAGGCCTTGTCCTTCTCACTTGCCCCCCTCGCTCGCCGCCCACAGAGAAAAGTAGAAGCAGAACCTTCTGGAGCTCCGCGCAGATGTCTTGGATCTGCGCTGGCCTCCCCCGGCGGCGCCTCCGGCGCCGCCCCCGGCGCGCTTCGCGCGCCAGTTTTTTTGGGGGTCCAGCGCGGATCCAAGAGATCTGCGCGGACCTCCAAAAGTTTAGGTTGATTCGGTATCGCTTGGCCGATCCCCATCCCCATCTCCATCCCCTTCGAGACCCCCACCAAATCACCACCCCAGTTGGGGATACACGCCTCGAGACCCGGAGAGGACGACCCGTATCCCCATCTCGGGGGGCACATCGGCCAGCGGGGCCCAGGCCACGCCGCTGGGGATGGAGATCGGTTAAACGATACTCATTGATACTGTTTTTTTGTTCATCTAGTCTCAGGTCGGGCCTGTCCCCCTACAGGGGGATTTCCGATGAAAAGAAAACATACCCCAAAAGTAATAAAAAAATAATCTAAAGATAGTCCGGGGACTATTTTCTGAGTATGTTTTGACCTTTTTGGGGCATTTTCGGGGTATTTGACATTTTCAGTCGAAAATCCCCCTGTAGGGGGACAGGCCCGACATAAATCTAGTCCTCTCTGCTCTGCCGGCTCTGCGCTCACTGTCGTGCCGACGCACCCCGCGACACCGATCGGCAAAAGCCCTCAGAGGAGGGCGGGCGCGCGGCGACAGCGGCGGGCGGCCTTCGCGGGGAGGGGGGGTCGTCGCCACGGCTGGAGGCAGGTCGGAAAAAGCTGGTGCGCTGGGTCCCGGGAGGGGCTCGGGGTCGAATTTTGAGCTGCCGTTGTCTCAAAATTCGAGGGCGGAAAAGAGGGGGGTGATGACTACGGGGGGGGGGATATCATGGCGGGGCCATGATATTTCCCAGGTTTCATGGCGCCTCTTCTTATTTCATTACGTCCCTGGCCCCCCCGCTGAGCCGCGCACATGCCGCCGGTCATGATTTGCACCCCCCCTTCTTGGACCCCCCCCTCTTGGCCGCTCCCAAAAAACTCGCCCTGCTCTCAGGGCGCCCACATCGCAGAGCGAATTCCGTTCGTGAAGCCATGGTGTGGGCCCGGTGTCCAGGAGAATATCGTTCCGGATTTCGAAGTGAATCTCGTGCGGACTTACCTTTGGAATGAAGACTGCAACGAATCCACGTGAAATGCACGTCGTTGTACGCAAGGTGTTTCGGGGTTTGGCATCGGCAGAAAACCACGCGACAATCCGCTGCAGCACGTCTGCAAGGTCGGTGCATTGATCTGCTCCGAAACCCGGCGGCTTCCATTCAGCCACGCGCAGAGGGGGGCGGGGGGAGGGGGGAGGGCTCCTTAGAAGCACCCCTGCTTCTTAGAAGGCGCGGGTCTTATCTGTAGATGTAAGGCCGGCGCCTTCTAAGAGGCTTTCCTTCTGAGAAGCCCTCCCCCCTCCCACCACACCCTTGCGCGCGCTGCCAATTCACGGCAGCTCTCATCCCGCCTTCTCTCGGTCGCCTTCGGTGCGGAGTCGGCGGTGCGGGGCGCCGCAGACAGCCCAGTGCAGTGTTCCTACCGGCACGGTGGCACAGCGAAGCCCCTCGGTAGGTCGTCGGGGCGATGCTGCAAGGTACTAGAGTGTCAAGTCGGGCATTCCCCTCAACAGGAGGAAAGAAGGGCCTGTTTGGAAGCTCCGCTCTTGAGACGCTTCGCACAACCCCTGCCGAACAAACAACGGCGTGGATCGTGCAGCACTGGCGTCCACTCCCTGCTGCACGCGTGGCGGGGCTTGAGCAAGAGGAGCGAGTGCTCCGCCGCCTGTCACCGCAGGCGTCAGGAGAGAAAGGAACACACAGACACAATTAATCGTCGACTCCCAAGAAAATATTGGAAAATATGGGAAGTGGGGGGGGAAGACAGAACCCACAGAAAATATGGGAAAATGTGGGGAATCTGTTTATTTGTGTGTATTTATTTGTGTGTCCTTGGGCCCCTTCAAGGCGGGCCGTCGCCACCACCCGGGGCCGTGCTCCCCGCGGGGCACCGCGGCGGCTCTGCAGCTTTGGGCGCACCGCTCGGCAGACCCACGCCAGGGCCGCGCGGCCGCTGGTCGACCTCCGGGCGGAGGCGCGTCACTCTTCGAATGGGGTTCTTCAGACTCCCAGCCTTGCATGAGATCTCGATCTACACATCTGTGTATTCTCTCTCTATATATATGTATATATATACATATATATATATAGATATATATGTATATCGGAGGTTCGGGGGGAGAGATCGCAGTGGAGCGGAGAGCCCCCCGCTGGGAAGGCGGTTGGCGCGATCGGGTCCGTGTCCGTGCCGTGTTTGTGTCGTGCGTGCGGGCGGGGCGAGGTTGCGTGGGCTCGCGAGAGGAACATCCCCGCCGTCGCTGGGGCGATTCGGATGCGGTGGGCCGCCCCTCCGCCCCCGGCGGGCGCGCGCTGACCCAGGGTGTCCCGCCGTGGTGTCCTGTGGTGTCCCGTTGGTGCCCCGTTGGGGGCCCTGTCGGTGTTCCGTCGGCGGTGGGCGGGCGGTGGCCCGGGATGTCCCGCCCGGGTATGGATAGTGAAGTCGCAAGTGAGGTCGACAATGGGATCGCCAGAATGGGATGAATCAAAAGCGGGATCGGCAGTGATGTTGATTGTGACATTGGCCTTCCTCGTCCTCCTCCACCTCCTCCTCTGTGCTCGCGCTGTCGGATGCGCAGAGAGGCGACGTCCCCGGGGTCGTGCAGATCTCGCGGGGACAGGCGATCTCCCCTGGGGCGAGAACAATGGGATCAATCGCTGAATGTGTTGGTACTAAGACTGGCCATGATGTCGATAGTGGGATCGATCGAGTGAGATCGACAGCGGGGACGACAATGACATTACATCGCAGCACAACGTCGTCATCAAGCGTCGTCGCTAACTTGAGGGCTCGTCGCCAGCATCGTCATCATCACACCCATCGCACTTGCCAGCAGTTGGTTCTTTCCCCCCCACCCCCCAACCTCTTTCTCACCTGGAGGCTGGTCGTATAGGGGGCGTGTTGCCAGCATCGTCATCATCACGCCCATCGCACTTGCCAGCAGTTGGTCCCTCCCCGTCCCAACCTCTTTCTCACCCGAAGGGCGGATGTATGTGTGTATATATATAAAGAGATATATGTATATATCTGTATATCTATATATATATACCTATCTATGTATATACATATCTATCTATCTACATATCTATATATATACCTACCTACCTACCTACCTACCTACATACATACCCACCTATCTATCTATCTATATATATATATCTATATATCTATATATATGTCTATATATCTTTCTATCTATATATCTATATATATATATATATATATCTATCTATCTATCTATATATATATCGATCTATCCATATATCTATCTAGCTATACACATACATATATGTATATATATATAACTACCTATATATATATATATCTATGTACCTATCTATTTATATATATATATCTATCTATCTATCTATCCATTCATACATATATATATATGACTATCTATCTATCTATCTATATATATCTATATATCTATCTATCTATCTATATATCTATCTATCTATCTATCTATCTATATCTATCTATCTATCAATCTATCTATCTATCTATCTATCTATCTATATATCTATCTATATATCTATATATCTATATATCTATCTATCTATCTATCTATCTATCTATCTATCTATCGATCTATCTATCTATCTATCTATCTATCTATCTTTCTATTTATGTATCGCAGTGCGGAATCATCTCCCTTGCCACCCTTGCGAGACCCCCGCCTCCGCCCGCCCCGCACCCACCGCGCGCCACCTCTCCTTCCGGCCGGCCCCGCGCCCCTCTTGCGAGGAGGTCTTCCGGGAGTTCGCGGCGGAGCGCCCGGCCTCTCCCTCGGGGGCCATCTCCAGCGCGGACCTGTCCAAGCAGGCGTCGGCGGCGACCCGACTGGCCGGCCCACTGGGTAGGCGACCCCTTCCGTGACGACCCCCCTCGCCCCGCTCCAAGGTTGGAGTATTTCCCGAAGGTTGGGACAGGTTTCCAGGGTTCCAGGCAGCAGAAGCTTGCATTTTCGGAGGTCCGCGCGGAGTTCTTGGACCGGCGTGGAGCGCGCCATGGGCGGCGCCGGAGACCGCCGGGGGGGCTCCAGCGCAGATCCAAGAGATCCGCGTGGCCCTCCGACATTTTCTGCTCCTGCAGCTCTTTCTTTTGACCTGGGCATGCGGGCAGAGGGTCGGGGGCGGAAGAGAGGGGGGTGATGACTAGGGGGGGGTGGATATCATGGCGGGGGCCATGATATTTCCCCAGATTTTGAGGCGCCTCGTCTTGTTTCATTGCGTTCCTGGCCCCCCCGCTGGGCCGCGCACATGCCGCCGGCCATGATTTGCACCCCCCCCTCTTGGACGCCCCCCTCTTGGCCGCTCCCGAGAGGGGAGCCTCGAGGGCGAGGGGGTCGCCACGGGCAGGGGCTCGCCACGGGCAGGGGCCGGGCGGGCCGCGCCCGCAGAGGCGCTGCACCTGCTGAAGATGCTGCCCTTCCCGAGCCCGGCGCTGGCGAGCCGCGCCGCCCTCCCGGGGAGCGGGCGGGTCCTCCTCCTCCTCCTCCTCCTCCTCCTCCTCCTCCTCCTCTTTCTCGGTGTTTGTCCTCGCAGCGCGTGCGGGTCAGCATCGTCGAGTGTATCGCGTTTGTCCTCGGAGCGCGTGCGGGTCAGCATCGTCGAGTGTATCTTACCAGTCTGAAGCATATCCCTACCCCTAGGTTTGGCATCACCTCGCCTCGGTGCCGATCTGAAGGATTCGCTCAGTTTCTGAGGGCCTCTCCCTAAGATTGTCCTCGCTTTTTGCTCGCCCGTCTTAGGGACAGGGATAGGTTCGAGGCTGGTTAGTATCCCCGTCCCCACGGAGCCACGGTGTCTCGGGCCCACCAGCCCACCCGAGGTGGGGATAGGCCCTGCGAAGCCCGAAGCGACAGGCATCTATCCCCACCCAGTCGGATCGGCCAAGTGGGGCCAAGGCCGCGACAGTGGGGAGAAGGAACGGTTGAGCGAGGCCCAACAGTCTAGACGCTGAAATAAGAACCGCCTCGGGCTCAGGGGGGGCGCTGGCTTCCATGCCGCTTTTCAGATCGAGGTCGGGGAACCTTCTCGTGGCCGAGGCCAGTGGCCGAGGCCAGAACCGTCTCTCTTCGTTCCCTCTCAACCGTTCCCGTCGGCAGCCCGACGACTGTAAGACGCAGTGTTCGGAAACGAAGCATCAGCATCAACCTGGCATCGCTCGGACGTGTGCATTTTTCCCTCGGCGAGGAACATCGAGGAGCATCCTTGATCATTTGGCGAAAAAACCACGCACGAAACCGACAAAAACACAGGGAGTGGACGCCCGAGCGATGGCCAGCCAACCTGCAGGTTCAAAGGCCCCCACGGACCTCTGGGGCCAGCGTTGGACCCCCCCCCTTGGTGGCGCCCCCAGCGCCGCCCCCGACGCGCTCCGCGCGCCAAAAGGAGGAACGTCCAGCGCCGATCCCAGGCATCTGCGCGGACCTCCGGGAGCTGATGTTTGTGATGCCCTTGGCATCGCTCGGACTTGTGCATTTTTCCTTCGGCGAGGGCCATCGAGGTGCATCCTTGACCATTCGGCGAACAAAAACACGCACGAAACCGAAAAAAACACAGGGAATGGACGTCCGAGCGATGCCCAGTGCTCCCCCTTCCCTCCAGGCCGGCGCGTCAAGTAAGAAGCCAGCCTGCCAGCCAGCGGGAGCCCCGCGATTGTTTCTTATTCCGATGGGCCCGGTGGCTCTTGGGCACCCAGCGGAGCACAAGATCGCCGAAGGATGTGCCCTTAGTTCTGTGACATCGTATGTGTCTATTATAGCCCAGTGGAGGTATACGGCGCACCTCTTGGGTCTCCAGTGATCACCTTGGGAGGGCTTCGTTCGACAAGCGCGCGTCAGCGTTGCCACACAATCGAGGGAATCGCCTGTTTTGTCCCGAGTGCGTGCCGTACGTTTCACAGCGTGTGACTTGGTTTCCCGCTGGCACGGAGGTGTGCGTGTGCGTGTGCGTGTGTGTGTGTGTGTGTGTCTGTCTGTGTCTGTGTGTATGTCTGTGTGTGTGTATGTGTCCGGGACCACCTGACGTAAAGTGGAGTGCACTGGGCCCCTGCATCCCTAGCTTATCTGGATGGCTTACGCGAAGAAGGGAGCACGGCATACGCGTAGACTCTACAACGTCCGCGCGAGGTTCGAGGAGCACCGCTGGACCGAATGAACTGACACCCTGGCAGCACAATCCCCTAATTTTAAGTCGGGCATGTCTCTCTACAGGAGGAATGTACAATAATAATAAAATAGTCGGGTGACGGTTTTCCATGCTCTTTTGTTGGTTTGGATGTTTCATTTCCCTTAAAACACCCGCTTGTTGGAGGACATGTCCGACCTGACCCTAATCAGCTCGTCAGAGTAAACGAGCAGACACACAATAGAGAGCACCATGGAGTGGCCACGATGTGGGACGCCGACAGGGTGCAAACCTGGGGGGGGCTCAACGGCGGGGGGCAGCGACGGGAGGCAACCATGGGAGGGCAACGCCGGGGGGCAACGGTGGGCCACCGGGCCCGGCACCCCTCGCCAGGCTGGGGGCACCGAGGGGGGGCATCGATGGGAGGCAACTGTGCTCACCGAGCGCGTTCCGCTGCTCGCAGAGTGCCTGCTCGCAAGCGCTCGAACACGATATTACCTCCTGCATGTCGTGAGTCGTAGATCCCCCGCGGCGGACCCAGGCCATCTGCGAGCATTTTTACTCTGCGAGTAGTGGAACGCGCTCGTCTAGATGCGCGGCAGCGCTGAGGGGTCACGATTTGGGGCAACGATTGGGGGGGCGACGGTACCATGCGTCCCTCCTCCCTTACGGGTAATCCGTGTAGGAAGGCGCTGCATCCACACATACAAAGTTCCTTTGATGCCCGCAGACTTCTGGGATCCTCGCTGGGCGCCTCTGGCGCCTCCCCACTGGGCACTCCGCGCGCCGGGGAGAGGGGGGTGCAGCGCCGATCCACGAGCGGACTTCCGGGAAGGTTGCGCTTATGTCTTGGTCAGGCCCCTGGAGACGAGGGCACGGATAATCTGGGACACGGAGAACCAAGGAACCGACGCCCTTTCTTGCAAAGTCACGTTTTTCAGCACCAGTGCATTTTTTGTTCGCTGCACTGCAGGGTTTGGGTTTGTGTCCAGGTTTAGGGGGGTCTTGCAGGCTTTTAGGACCTGTGCCTGGGTTTATTCTGGAGATGTTGCAGTGCAGTATTTTGCTCGTGCCGCCGTCTGGAAAAATTGGTTTCAAGCGATGTTGAGTGTCCGGGTCTAGCGTGTCCGGGTTTACGGGGCCTTGATTTGGTGTTTGTCTTCTTCATTTTGCGCGGGTTTTCCCATCTTGCATGACACACTGCTTCGGAAGCTCTCCTGCCATCCGACCTCTCCCCTGTCCCCCCCTCCTGTTGTTCTTCCCTCTCGCCTCCTCCACCTCCTTCTTTCCCGCTGACCTTCCTTATCTATCCCACCGCGCGATTCTCCCTAGCTGGGTCAGGGGCGGGGGGTTGAAGGAGTGGGAAATCACACTCTTCTCACAACGTCGTCGCCGAGGCGCAGGTGGCAAAATCAATGCTCATCTTGAGTATTTGTCCAATCGGCAATCGCCGACGTGGTCAAGGAAAGCGTCAACAGAATAATTGTTAGCACATGTTTGCATAGTGCTCCAAGAAAGAGCCTGCGCCACCAAGGAAGCGCGTCGACGAGGTGGTGATACATAGATCGAACATGTGATCCAGTACCCAGGCGTTTTGGGCGCAGGCGGACCATGGAATCACTAAGGGGGGCACCGGGCAAGCCAACGACGACCACCATGCGTCGATGGTCAGAGTGTGAATTACCTACCCCGCTTTCGCTTCCAGGCAAAACCAAGTCATACCACGCGCCTCCTCGTCAAGTGGTCTGACCAGTACAGGCCGTAGTTTGGCATCGCTTGGTATCTCTTGGAAGCGAGGGTGGTCAAAAGCGAGGTAGGTTTGTTTGCCCTCTAGATGGGCACATCTATCTCCGATTGCAGGCGGCAGAGGCTTCCACAAAAGTTCAAGTGTGGGTGCAGTCTCCGTGCGGCAAGCTCTTCCATGTATCGTGCCGCGGGTCCACGACGCCTGCAGATCGACCTCGACGGAGCGCGGGGCTCTCCCCCCCCCACCGGCGCGTCCGATGCTTGCTTGAAGTCCACGCCCACGGTGGCCGCCTCGCGACTCCGACCTACGTGTCGCGACGGCATCATCATCATCAGCATCACCATCACCATCATCATTAACATCATCATCATCATCAGCAGCATCATCATCATCAGCATCATCATCATCATCATCGCCCTGGCCACCCCGACTGCCCAGCCTTCTCTCCGTGCCGCCGTCGCTGCTTCCCCTTTCGTTGTAGAGGCCATGCGGCGGTCGGGTCTGGCGCGACTCCGATTTACGCGCTATAGAATCACACTGTTAGGTTTCCACGCTGGCGAGTATACATAAGCATGTAACTATGTGTGTAGATGTTCCTCCAGCGAGGTGGCGACCGACACCGTCGCGAAGAGTTACGTAAGCTGGGACACGCTTAGGCGGAATTCACACCTGGCGTAGCAGGTGGGTGGACTGAATGAGTGCAGTCGCATTCAGAGGAGGCTACGAAAGGAAGAATCACCCCACCCACCCACCCACCCACCCTCCCACCCTCCCACCCTCCCACCCTCCACCCACCCACCCACCACCCACCCACACACCCACACACAAACACACACACACACACACACTTCCCGTTTTGTCCACGATGGACCGAACGTGCTGCGGGTGTCAATCTGGCTGGGGGCGCCAGCGGTGTGAGGATGGCGCGCCGTCCATGCTCCAACGAGGAGGCGCGTCGAGCGGGGACCTGCGGAGCAGCGGCGAGCGACAAGGATAGGTAAGACGGGTAGTTGAGGTAGAGGGGCGAGCTAGCCGGGATGGCAGGAGGCCACTCGTCGTAGTGCATGTGGTTCAATCTGTGTGGTGCGACCTGTGCTGTACAATCTATGTTGTGCAAGATGTGTCATGCGATCTTCGTTGTGCCACCTCTGTAATGCAATCTACGTTGTGCACCTTACCCTGCCGAATGTGGTGTTGTCACCGAGGGTTGAAAGATCTTTAACCCTAATAGCGCAGTGAAGACGTAGCCTCACTTAGGTCCCCGTCTCATTAGGGACAATACAGATTGGCGGTTTGGTTTGGTACATCCACAGAAAAGACCCCCTATCCCTAATGTGTTTGGTCCTCCCACCTTGGGACCCCTTCCAAAGGGTTAGGGGTCCTTTTGGTGCGACTCATCCTCCTCCATGAACCCATGTCGATATCGACCACGCTACAGGTGTATCAGCCTCGCGAGCGACCTGCTCGAACGTTACAGACGCAAGGATCACCGACACATGCAAGCAGCAGGCCGCACCTTTCCGGAGCCTTGGCCCGTCCTCCCCAGTCCGTCGAGAACCCGCTGGAGCTCCTCGACCCGACGGGCAAAGGAGTGCCCGGCGCCAGCTGCGCCGCGCAGCAGCCGCTGTGTCTGGGCACGGTCAGGGCCGCCTGCGATCCGATTTTCGGTGTCATCCGATTCGCCGGCTCGGGCTGCGATTTCGATTCGGTTCGGTTCGGCTCGATTCGCTGGTATCGTTAGAGAGCCTTGGTTCGCTAGTGACTGGTTTCCCCCAAAAACTAAGACAAGCCTTCCAAAACCTTCCCGAAAAGCCTCCGGAAAGCCTCCCAGAACCCTTCCATGGAGGGTTTTCGGAAGTTTTCCGGAGGGCTTCGGCTGTTTAGGAAGGAAACCTGTCCCTAGCGAACCCTGGACTTTCTAATGGTATCGGCTGGGTCCAGCCGGAGCCAGGCGCTGCGATCCGATTTCGGTTTGAGTCTGGGGCGTTCGTTGGCGATCTGATCCGTATCCGGTCCGACTTTGCGATTCGATCCAGCTGGGGCCTGCCAGTCTTTACGGCCTTGGCCTGATGCACAGGCCACGGGAGGGCGCATACACAATGCCACAGCCCAGGATGGCCTTGGCTCAGGACGGTGGCAGTGCATGGTTGCATCCTGCGAGTGCTGGCCCCAGCACAGGGTGGCGCGAGGGCGGTGGGCTCCTAGGGAGGCGGGGGGGCTTCTCCGAAGGCAGGGGCCTCCTTGGACGGGCCTGGCGGCATCGACGGAACCTCCGTGGCCCATGGCCTTCTGAGCAGACCCCCGCCCTCTCAGCAGCCCCGGCGCCTTCGAAGCCCAACCCCGTCGCACCACTCCTCTTGTGTTAAGTCGGGCTTGTCCCCCTACAGGGGGATTCTCGACGAACAATAAAAAAAAACCAAAAACAAATAGTCCAGAAATAGTCCAGGCACTACTGTTGGGGTATTTGTTTGACCTTTTGGCGGTATTTTGGGGGTATTTTTGATTTTTCGCTGAAAAGTCCCATTGTAGGGGGACACCGCAAAAATAAAACAATACCGCAAAAATAGTCCAACAATAGTGCGGGCACTATTTTTAGGGTATTTTTTAACCTTTTGGGGGTATTTTGGGGGTATTTTTGATTTTTCGTTGAAAATTCCCATTGTAGGGGGACGCGCCCGAGAGAACTCTTGTGAGCGCCTCCAGGCCTCTGCGCGCCTCCGTCTCCCCCCCTCCCCCCGCCCGTCGTCCTCGGCGGGCAGCCGCGCCCGCCTGTCCCCTGGGCGGTGGGGCTCCCTCCGCGGGGGATCGCTGCCGCTGCAGGGGGTGCTTCTGCGCCTCCGGGCCCGCCGCCGGCTGCCAGGGCACCGCCCCCTCCCCCCTCCGCTGCTCCGCCTCGCCATGGGTCCGGGAGCGGGTGGGCACTCATCCATGACCACCGCCCCGGGGAGGCATCTTCGGGGCCCGTGGCAGGCGGAGGGTATGGATAGATTCGACCCCCCCCTGGGGCCGACATATTTTGATATACATTTACACACCTACGTTTGTGAAGGTATACGTGTTAAGTCTATATATATATGTGTATGTGTATATGTCTGTGTCTGTGTCTGTGTCTGTGTCTGTGTCTGGGTATGTGTGTGTATGTGTATGTGTATGTGTATGTGTATGTATGTAGGTATGTATGGATGCACGCATGCATGTATGTATGCATGTCTATAGGTAGGACTTTATGTATGTATGCATGCATGTGTGTATGCGTGAACGCATGCATCTATGTATGCATGTCTGTCTTTCTGTCTGTATGTCTGTCTGTCTGTCTGTCTGTTTGTCTGTCTGTCTGGTTGTCTGTATGTATGTATGCATATATGTATGTAGAACTGTATGCATGTATGTATGGATGGATGGATGCATGTAGGTATTCATGTATGTATTCATGCATGTGTGTACATTCATGCGTTCACGAATTGGTATGTATGCATGTATGTATGCATGTGTCTATGGATGTATGCATGCATGCAGGTATGCATGTACGTATGTATGTATGTATGTATGTCTGCATACATGCATGCATGCATACATGCATGCATGTATGTATACATGTATGCATGTATATGTGTATGTGTGCATGTGCGTATGCACGTACGAATGTATGTATGTATGCATACATGTATGTATGTTTACATGTGTATAGGCATGTGTGTAGGTACCAACACACGCATGAATGTATGTGCATGTATAGATACGTGATTCACATCCACCGCCCGCTGGGGTCCAAGGACGTCGGTTCCCCAGGCGGTGGATATGAATACATCTCCGCCTCGCCGTGCAGCGGCGTTCCAGAGAGGGGCCTCGCTGTCAGGAACATCGAGGCGTTGCCTTCTTTTCTTCGTCGGGTGGTGGTGGGAGGCTGGCGAGCGGGTAACGAGGGCGACCCCACGAGCAGAAGCTGGCGGCAGTAGAGGATGCGCTCCGACGATCTGTTCTTCTGGTTGATCCAGGAGGGGGTCCAGCGAAAAGAGGGCTGTGCAATAGATTCTGCAATCGATTTGTGGGGTTGCAATAGATTTGGGGCGTGCAGTACGTCCCAGTGCGCACATGTGTTGCTGGGCTTTCGCGAGCAGCGCAGTCGTTGCAAGACGAGGCAGTACAACTCTCTGGCGCAGTCCATATGCAACACAGTTGCCCCAAATCCAGCGCACCGCCCCCTTCTTGGGCCAACCAAAGCTGTGTCCTCATGGTTGGCCTCAGGTCTTCAGCGTGGTCCTGAAGGAATGGGGGCCCCGACGTGCTCGGCCACCTCCCGCCCCCCGGGCCCGTCCTGGGCCCGTGGACCGTCCGGCAGTGCCTCGGGGTGAAGCGCCGATCCCGGGGACCGCCCCGCAGTTCCGGGAGCCTCATGCATTCGGGGGCGGAAGAGAGGGGGGTGATGACTAGGGGGGGGGGTGGATATCATGGCGTGGGCCATGATATCTCCCCAGATTTCAAGGTGCCTCGTCTTGTTTCGTTACGCCCCGGGCCCCCCCGCTGGGCCGCGCACATGCCGCCAGTCATGATTTGCGCCACCCCCCCCTCTTGGACACCCCTCTTGGCCGCTCCCGATGCATGCCCCTCGTGGCGAGTCCCTGCGGAAACTGGAGCCGTGACCTGACGGCTGGCAGGGGGGCCCTTTTGTTGGGGGGGGCGGCGAGGGCAAGAACGGTTGGGAAGCTGGGGTGAGGGCTCCCGCTGTGCCGATCACGGGTGGAGGTCGAATTCGGCATCGGCTCTGGTATATCTAGAGGAACAAGAAGTGGCATAAACATACCAACTCGGCGGATTCCTCGGATCGGCGCTGGGGCCCCCCGGCGGCGCCTCTTGCGCCGCCCCTGGCGCGCGGAGCACGCCAGGGAGGGGGTCCAGCGCCGATCCGAGATATCCGCACGGACCTCCGAGTTTGTGTGTTTGTGCGATGTCTGATCCCCTAAATATCCGCGGTCGGGATCCTGCAAGGTCTGGGCCGATCCCGCCTAGTCTGGCCCACTCTCGACCAGCCCGGCCTGATCAGCATGTCAAAGTGGCTCCACTTGGCATCGCTCGGACGTGTGCATTTTTTGTCTCGGCGAGGGCCTTCGAGGAGCATCCTCGACCATTTGGCGAAAAACCACGCACGAAACCGAAAAAAACACAGGGAATGGACGTCCGAGCGATGGCGAGTTCAAGGCTTCTTAGGAAGCCGGCGGATCCTTTCAGCTGTGGCTTTGATGTGGCCTCGCGCGGCTCCATCCACAGAGGCCGTCGGTCCGCGCGGGTTCGCCTCGCTCCAGGGGCGGCGCACGAGGCGCCGCTATTTATCGGCGCCGACCCGAGCAATCCGCAGGAGCCTCCGACAGTCTATGTCGATTATGCCGTGTCCATGGGCCTGTGTTCCACCACCACCATCATAAGTCGAAGGGGGCAAGGAGGTGGAGGACGAGGAGGAGGAGGAGGAGGAGGAGGAGGAGGAGGAGGAGGACGAGGAGGAGGAGGAGGAGGGGGAGGAGGAGGATCCCATCCCTCTCCAATTTATGGTGTTGGTGGTGGTGGTGGAAAACAGGCCCATCACGTGTTGTTTCTCTACTGATCTGGCCATCGTCGCACTAAATTAGGACGAGGATGCGCAACAAATCCGTTCCAGAGCCTTCTGGGGCGCTCTGGAAAGGCCGCGGCGCCCGATGCATCCTCCAGGGCCTCGAGATCTCCGAGATTCTCGATCTACCACTGTCCGAATTTGTCCTCGCCCTGGCTTCGTCTTACCTGCAGTGGCCCTGCAGGAGCACTGGAAGCGCCGAGCGTTGCCGAAGGCGCTTTTCGCCCCGCTTCGGGGAGGAGTGTGTGTGTGTGTGTGTGTGTGCGCCCAAAACTGCTGTCCATGGGGGCGTTCCAGAAAGGGCTCCGCCTTCGAGGATCGAAGGTCACCATCCACCAAACCACCCCAATCCAACCCGAAGGCTTCAACTTTCCCTCCATTTTCAGAGGGGGGGTCGGGAAACATTGAAAAAACACCTATGGAACCCGTACCCCACCCCCCACCCGAAAGCCGTGTCTTCGGGTCGGGTTGGGGGGGGTTGGTGGTAGGTAATCGGAAGGAGCTGGAGCTGCATCCCCACCCCGATCGGTCTTCGCCCTGGCTTCGTCTTCGCACCTCCGCCCGGGGCCTCCGTGGGACTTGCCCGTGGCCTCTCTTTTCCGGGAGCCCCGCCCGGAGAAGCCTGCCCTGGGGCCGGGCAGAGGCTCCCAGCCTGAGGGGCGTCCTTCTCGGCCCTGCCACTCCTCCTCCTCCTCCTCCTCCTCCTCCTCCTCCTCCTCCTTCCTCCTTCCTCCTCCTCCTCCTCCTCCTCCTCCTCCTCCTCACTCTCCTTCTTCCTCCTCCTGATGGGCTTGGAGGGATTCTCTCGCCGCGGCCCGTCCTGGTGCTCGGTGGCGCGCATCGGAACAGACCCGCGTCCCCCAGGGTACCCGCACTCCTCCTCCTCCTCCTCCTCCTCCTCCTCCTCCTCCTCCTCCTCCTCCTTCAGAGGAGGAAAGTGTTCAGGAGCTTGGCTGCCCTGAGACGCCCGTCTTGAGACGCAGCACGTGCCGTGCTCAAAACGTCCACTTGAAGAGGCTGCGTGTCTGCTCAGCGTACTGGCCCGCGTTTGGGAGAGCGTATCGCGTCAGACCTATGTGTTCAGTCTATGTGTTGAGCTCCGTGCCAATGCGCTACGTGTCGCGTTTTGCGTATCGGGGCAGCTAAGGTCAGAAGGGAAAACGCACGGACATAATTGTCGATGCCCCACAATAGATGGAATATATGGGAAGGTGAGGGGAAGACGAACATCCAGGAAAAATATGGAACATTTGGGGAATCCTGGGATCTTTGTGTCTGTCTCCTTTGTGCCCCTATGCCCCTTCAAATTTACCCGTACCGCTACCCTTCCCCAGCTTCGCCCCCTTTTTGATACTCGCGGGAGGCCCTGGGCGCCACGGCTAAATCCGCCTCGACATTCTGGTCAGAACGCACCCCGTGATAGGTCCAGGGAGTAGTGGTATCAGTAGGGCTCCTTGCGAGGAGGAGGAGGAAGAAGGAGGAGGAGGAGGAGGAGGAGGAGCAGGAGGGGGAGGAGGAGGAGGGGGGATGAGGAGGAGGGGGAAGGAGGAGGAGGAGGAGCAGGAGGGGAGTCTCGTAGCCTCCGGGGGGCAGGGCATCGATCCCCTAAACGCCCTTTCATCGCCGATAGGTGCCGGATGGCCCGCCCCGCCCAGGAACGTGCTGTTCTGCTATCGGGGGCCCTGTCGCTAATCTACCAGCGATGCATCGCCGACTCAAGCTGAATGTTCTCCCCCCTGAGCTGGGCCCCTCACCTTCTGGGCCTTTGGAGCCGTCTTGGGGTGGTCGTGGGGTCTCTTCGAGACATGTTGTCGGTCATGGTTTTCACGTTGGTGCATCTTGGGCTGTCCTTGAGCGGCTATGGATGCCATGGGGGGAGCCAGGCACTGCGGTTTTTCCTTCAAGGGAGCAACAACCACCCGGACCGGACAATCAGCGTTTACTAAACGGTCTTGGGCGTTTACTAAACAGCCCTGCCTTGTTTGATTCCTTCTTCGGGCGCGTTTACTGAACGACTTCGCGTGTCGGGGTGGTTCGTATTCGGCGTTGGACAAACCTCCTTTTAGTAAACCTCCCCTTAGCGAAATTGGCATGGGACCGAAACCGACGGACCTGGACCCGCAAAAAGGACGGCCGCGACGCCCCCTCGCGAACCGAAAACGGCCAATTCCTTCATCGACGTGCCAGGGTAGGAGGTCTGTCCACCTCCGAAGTGTGGATTCTTTGGCTTCCACTCCTCGCAGAGGCCACCGCACGGCACCTCTCGGTGGTCGTCGGCGCCGGCGCCCCCCTTTGCTCGCGCGCGCCGCCCGCCTGTGGGGGGGATCGGGCGGCCGCTCGCCCCGCCGGCGGCCCCCCAGGGATCACGTGCGAGCAGTTCTGCCTGTACTGCCGCCAGGCGCCCGCCGTTCGCACGCCCGCGAGCTGGGGGTTGAGTCGGGCCTGTCCCCCTACAGGGGGACTTTCGACGAAAGATAAAAGAATACCCCCCAAAAGTGCCCCCCAAATAGTCAAAAAATAATCGGGGGACTATCTTTGTTGACCTTTCTGTTGCATGTTTGAAGTCTTTTTCATTTGTCGTCGAACATCCCCCTGTATGGGGACACGCCCGACAGAAGGCTTGGGCGTGCAGGCGGGGCTTCTGAGACGAGGGCCAGCTGAGACAGCGGTGGTTCAGGCGATCGCAAACATGGATCAAGAGGGCGTGGACTAGCGACGGGTCCCGTCTCCCTGGGAGGTCGCGAATTCCTGCCGCCGAGCGAGGCGGCGCCGGCCGCACCTTGGGAAGGGCACCTCCCCCGATCCATGGATTTGGCGACCGCGCGCCAAATCCATGGATCGCCAATCCATGCTTGCGCGCCCCCGAGTGCAGGCGGGGCTTCTGAGAGGAGGGCCAGCTGAGGCAGCGGTGGTGGGCCTTCGGGAGGCCCCTTCGTCGCCACGGTTGGAGGCAGCTCGGCAGCGTGGTACGTTCGGAATCTGGGAGGGGTCCGCGGACCGGCTTTGAGCTGCCGCTGTCTTCGGGGGCGGAAAAAAAGGGGGGTGATGACTAGGGGGGGTGGATGTCATGGCGGGGGCCATGATTTTTCCTCATATTTCATGGCGCCTCTTCTTATTTCAGTTTGGCCCTAGCCCCCCCGCTGGGCCGCGCACATGCCGCCGGTCATGATTTGCACCCCCCCTCTTGGATACCCCCCTCTAGGCCGCTCCCGATGTCTCAACTCGCTCTGTGACTCTGTTCCGAGATGTTGGACTCAGGCTGCCGCTGCTCTGCGAGGCCTCGCAGCCAGGCGAACACACGGGCACTCGAGCGCGCGGCACTTGTTGCGTACCAGGGTGTGGACATTCCGTTGAGCACTCGTTCGAACGGTGGTTCAATCTGATTGTATTGTGGACGCCGCACTTGTTATTTGTCTCACCGGGTCATTCGCACCACGTTGCCATTTCTGGTGTGGCTCAACATCTGGGTAGTGTAGCGTTTCAAGGGGCGGGGGGTGCAAAAACGTTCAGGAGGGAGGGGGCGAACGTGGAGAAGGAAGAAGGGGGGCGGGTAGAGAGGGGCGGGGTGAGGAGGGGGAAGGAAGCAGAGCGGCGGGGGATGAGGATGTGAATAATACTAACATTAATTGTTGGATGAGACGGGCGAGGACGAGGATGGGGGATGAGGAGAGAGCAGGAGTAGGATGAGAAGGGCCAGGAGAAGGAGGAAAAGGAGGAGGAGGAGGAGGTCCCTTCTTTCAGAATGCGCCAAGTCTCCCCAGAAGCTCGTGCCATCCCTGCGAGGATCCCACCTTCCACCTCCGTCCTCCCGCCTTCCTCCTGTCCCCCTCCGCCTCCTCCTCCTCCTCCTCCTCCTCCTCCTCCTTCCTCCTCCTCCTCCCCCTCCCCCTCTCCTCCCCCCCCCCTCCTCCTCCTCCTCCTCCTCCTCCTCCTCCTCCTCCTCCTCCTCCTCCTCCTCTCCTCCCTCCTCCTCCTCCTCCTCCTCCTCCTCCTCCTCGTCCTCCTCCGCCTCCTCCTCCTCCTCTTCCTCCTCCGCCTCCTCTTCTTCCTCTTCCTCCTCATCTTTCTCCCCCCCCCGCTTCCTTCCATCCTTCTCCTCCTCCTCGTGCTCTCCTCCTCCTCCTCCTCCGTGTGCTCGTCATCCTCCTGCCCCTCCTCCTCCATTCCTCCTCTCCCTCTCCCTGCTGCTGCTGCTGTTGCTGCTGCTGGCTGCTCCTTCCTCCTCCTCCTCTCCTCCTCCTCCTCTCCTCTTCCTCCTCTCCCTCTTCCTGCGGCCGCTCCTGCTCCTCCTCCTCCTCCTCCTCAAATTCCTCCTCCTCCTCTTCCTCCTTCTCCTCCCTCCTCCTCCTCCTCCTCCTCCTCCTCCTCCTCCTCCTCCTCCTCCTCCCCTTCCTCTTCCGCCTTGTCCTCCTTCTCCCCCTCCTCTTCTTCTGATTCTCAGCCGTCACCTACCTTCTCTGGGTATTATATAGTATTATCCTTTTGCACAGATGTGCTCTAGAGTTCGAACATCTTTATCTTCGTCGTGGTTCGTGGCTCGTGGTGGTTCGTCCCCCTCGGCCCCTCCCCTGAGCCTGAGCCCCAGCTCCCCTGGGCCACCCACCCTTCGGAGGCTTGCTCCGTCCAGGCTTCCCAGGCCAGCCCCCCTGGGCCGCGGACATCCTTATCTGGGCCACGGAACCCTTTACTTTCGTTGTGGTTCGTGGCTCGTGGTGGTTCGTCCCCCTCGGCCCTCCCCTGAGCCTGAGCCCCAGCTCCCCTCAGCCACCCACCCTTGGGAGCCTTCCTCCGTCCGGCCTTCCTCCGTCCATGCTCCCCAGTCCTTCGCAGCTCCTTTGTGCAAGAGCCAGGGCACGCGTGCCACTTGTTCATACTCACCCGCTTCTTCTGTTTATGCTGCTTCATATTATGCTATGTTTTGGCAGTGTGGTGTATGCTTGTTGATCGTATGTGTTGCGTGTGCCTACTATTTGTTTTATTGTTCTTAATAATTGTCGCATCCAGTTCTGTCTTATGCAGATTATTCTTAGTAGTCTTAGAATGCGTGGTCTTCCTCTGATCACTCTTACGATTAGTTTTCAACGTATGCATTTTTCGTTTTCATAGTAGCCGTCTTCTTGTGAGTCGTATGTTTATGATTATGGTTAGTATAGTCGTGTGTGTTATAAGTTTGATGTGTGTTCTTAGTAGCCCTATGTTCGATACTACTAGCAGTACTATTTGTTTCTCGTAGTACAACCGGCGTTCATTGAATTATAACTACAGCTAATCTTATTGTGCGTATGATTTTGAATACTACTACTACTACTACTACTACTGCTACTACTACTACTACTACTACTACTGCTACTGCTACTGCTACTGCTACTGCTACTGCTACTACTACTACTACTACTACTACTACTACTACTACTACTACTACTACTACTACTACTACTAGTACTACCACTGCTACTGTTACTGCTATTACAACTACGATAGTACTTTAACTGCGTTTATCATATTGCAATCATTTTGTTGTTACTTCGTTTTTGTATCGTTAGTATCATCGGTCAGCGTTGATTCCAACTAGATATGAGGACAGGAGGAGGGCGAGAGGAGAATGGGAGGAGGCCGAACGGAGGACGGGAGGAGGACTGGAGGAACTAAACAAGCAAGCGCAGGCAAGCAAGCGCAAGCGAGCATAGGCATATTCAAAGGCATAGGCATAGGCATAGGCGTAGGCATTGGAGTTTTTTTGGGGGGGGGCATGGGCATAGCCATAGCCACAGAAACTAAGGGGGGGGGGCATAGGAATTAGGGGGGGCAACGGACCACCTAGTAGGGTTTGAGTTAGAACTCCTATGGGGCAGGCCTACTTGGAGAAATTATTGCCATTACCATTCGTAGTATCATCCGTGCGATGCTCCGGCCAGAGCTGCGCGCGCCCGTTGGGCGCGCGGGCATCCTGGCAGCCCGGAGCCACGCGCGGGCCAGACGTGGGCTCTGGCGCGCGCTCGGGCAGGAGCGAAGACAGGAGGGCAGGAGGGAGGAGGAGGGAGGCAGGAGGGAGGAGGAGGGAGGAGGGAGGAGGGGGGGGAGGAGGGAGGAGGGAGGAGGAGGGAGGAGGACGGCAGGAGGGAGGAGGGAGGAGGAGGAGGAGGAGGAGGGAGGAGGAGGAGAAGGAGGAGTAGGAGGAGGAGGAGGAGGAGGAGGAGGAGGACCAGTGTAAACCCTAGGGCGCTCAACGATGTTGGAAGGCACCCTCCCTCCAAGCTCCCTCTTCACAGGCCCCTACAACGGTTCATTTGCATTGAGGGATCTGCCTCGTTGGGAGACAACCGTTTGAAGACCCTGAAGCATGCCAAAACATTGTTCTCGGAATTCCAACGCCACGGATCAACCAGACCTGTTGCGTCTTGACGATCCTGGATCGTGGCAGAACGCTTTTCTTTGGATTTCAACGCCGCGAATCAACGTAACTGTCGCACCCGCAAGCTCCTGAATCCTTCCAGAACGCCAGTTCTGGTACGTTGATCGTGGAAATCCGTGAAACCCTTGCACATGTTATGAATGCGCGCGGCGCTAAGGCGACAGCTACAGTTTGAAAAGGAACCGCCTTCAATCCGTGAAGCTCTTGCAATTTGTTTGTACGAATGTGCGCGGCGTTAAGGCGAGAGCAACAAATCGGAAACGGGTAATCCGTGATTTGTTTCTCTTTTTGTTAACGAATTGTGCGCGGCGCTAAGGCGAAATCCACATTTTGAAAACGGATGATCCTCACTCCGTGAAATTCGTGCAATTGTTTAGAACGAATGTGCTCGGCGCTAAGGCGAAATCGACATTCTGAAAACGACCCGCCCACCATCTGCGGAGCTGTTGTCAATTTTTATCTTCAGAGTCATCAGTGGTGCGGAAGTCTCATGCGAAACGCCTGGCCCTCCCTAAGAACTGGCCTCGGGGTGCAACAGGAGGACTAGGAGGAGGAGGAGGAGGAGGAGGAGGTGGAGGAAGAGGAGGAGGAGGTGGAGGAAGAGGAGGAAGAGGAGGAGAATGAAGAGGAGGAGGCGGAGGAAGAGGAGGAGGAGGAGGAGGAGGAGGAGGAGGAGGAGGAGGAGGAGGAGGAGGACGCCGACGACGACGATGACGAGAAGTGCTGTGAGAGCACCTGCCGCTGGCGCCCGTCGCCAGCGCCCGCAGGTCAGGGAGGCGGCCGAGCTCCGCATGATTGCCGACAAGGACCCGGGCCCCCCGCCCGTCCGCGGGCCGCCGCCAGCGTAGCGTCGCCAGCGTGGCGCCGACGCCGGCGCCGACGACGCCGACGACGCCGACGACGCCGCTGACGACGACGACGCTGACGACGACGACGACGACGACGACGACGACGACGACGACGACACGACGCTGACAACGAGAACGACGCTGACGACGACGACGCTGCCGACGACGACGGCTGTGGCGGCGGCGGCGGTGGCGGCGCGGTGCCGTTGCCGCGCGGTGCCGTCGCCAGCCGGCGGCGGCAGTGCAGCCGCGGTGGGCGCGCGGCGGGGCGTCGGCCGCTGGGAGGGCCGAGGGGCTCGGGACGAGGATCGTGGCTGGAGGGTGCGTAGAGGTTTTGAGTCGAAAGGCGCTTTTGCGTAGAGGTTTCGAATCGAAAGGCGCTTTTGCATTTTCTTGTGTGGCTGGGGGTGTCGAGTCGAAAGGCGCTTTTGCCTTTCTTGTGTCTCTGGGGCTTTGGGCCCCGGAGGCACGATTCCCTAGTTCCTGCCGCGTCCCGCCCGTAGACCGGCCGGCGCCTGCACCAGCTTCGACTCGTTTGTCTCTGGGGCCTCCCGGGATCGCCGGTCGTCGTTGTCGTCCTCGGTCGGATTCGGGGTGGGATGGGGTGGGCGGGGCAGGGGGAAGAAGAGGAAGAGAGTATAGAAGGATGAGGACAAGGACGATGAGGGTGGGGATGAGGATGAGGACGACGACGATGATGTTGGGGATGATGATGTTGATTGTGATTTCGATGTTGATCAGGTTACTGATGGTGATGGTGGGGAGGAGGATGCTGATGATTGTGGTGGCGATGCTGATGGGGCTCAGGATGATGAGGGTGATGGGGGTAATGTTGGTATCGATGTTCAAAATCGTGGTAGGGTGATGATTTTGTTGGTTATGGTGATGCTGATATTGCTGCCGATGCACGTGCTAGTGTTGATACAGATGGCGATGACGACGATGGTGGTGGTGATGATGAGGATGATAGCGTCGATGATGACGACACTTATAAGAATGGTGAACATAATGGTGATGCTGCTGATGATGATGCTTCTGATGATGATGCTTCTGATGGTGATGGTGATAATGACTATTGGACTGAGGATGATGAGGTGAATGAATTGTTGATGCTGCCGATGATGATGAGGCGATGTTAATTATGATGCTGATGATGATGCTGATGATGATGATGCTGATGATGATGATGACGATGATGATGATGATGATGCTGATAATGATGATGATGATGATGATGATGATGATGATGATGATGATGATGATGATGATGATGATGATGATGATGCTGATGCTGATGCTGATGCTGATGCTGATTTGGGTGATCATGATAACGATGGTCATGGTGTTGATGTTATGTTTGATGAATCGGTTGTTGTGGTTGTTGTGGTGAATCTGAAGTGGATGATGGGGGGAGGAGGCACGAAGAGGAAGAGGCAGCGGGAGAAGGTAGGAGGAGGGGGAGGAGGGGGAGGGGGAGGAGGAGGAGGGGGCGGGAGGAGAGGGAGCCAGGATGAGAGGCAGGAACATGATGAGGAAGAGGAGGAGGATGGGGATGAGGGTGAGGAAGCGCATGATGATAATGATGATGATGATGATGCTGATGATGATGATGCTGATGCTGATGATGATACTGTTGATGTTGTCGATGATGATGGTGCTGCTGCTGCTGATGATGATGATGATCATGCCGATGGTGATTACGATGGTGCTGCTGTTGTGGATGATGCTGGTGGTGGTGATGATGATGAGGATGATGATGACGAGTAGGAGGAGGCTGATGAGACACGGGGAGGGGGCAGCAGGAGGAGCAGGGATGGGGAGGAGGAGCCAGGAGGATGAAGCAGGATGGGCACGAGGCAGGAGGCAGGAGGACAAGGACGAGGCAGGAGGACAAATGGGGAACGCAGGAGGTGGGAGCAGGAGGCAATCCCCGGGCAGGCTGGAATAGATGATCCTGCGAGGTCCCACTGCCGGAGCCATTTTCCTTCAGTGGACCCCCGGAGCCGCCGATCAGGTTCCCCCCCCGGCGCCCTCGACCTCGTGTTTAGTTGGGCACGTCTCTCTACAGGAGGAACGTTCAAACATAGTAAAAACATTGCCGGGGCTACTACGTTGTGTTTGTTGTTGTTGTTGTTGCTGTTGCTGTTGTTGTTGTGGTTGCTGTTGCTGTTGCTGTTGCTGTTGCTGTTACTGTTGCTGTTGTTGCGGTTGTTGTTGCGGTTGTTGCTTATGCTGTTGTTGTTGTGTTGTTGTTGTTGTTGTTGCTGTAGCTGTTGCTGTTGCTGTTGTTGTTGTTGCTGTTGTTGCTGTTGTTGCGGTTTTTTGTTTATGTTGTTGTTGCTGTTGTTGTTGTTGTGGTTGTTGTTGTTGTTGTTGCTGCTGTTTATGTTGTTGTTGTTGTTGTTGGTGGTGCTGTTGTTGTTGTTGTTGCTGTAGCTGTTGCTGTTGCTGTTGTTGTTGTTGCTGTTGTTGTTGCTGTTGTTGCGTTTTTTGTTTATGTTGTTGTTGCTGTTGTTGTTGTTGTTGTGGTTGTTGTTGTTGTTGCTGTTTATGTTGTTGTTGTTGTTGTTGTTGTTTATGTTGTTGTTACTGTTGTTGTTGTTGTTGTTGTGGTTGTTGTTGTTGTTGTTGCTGCCGTTTATGTTGTTGTTGTTGTTGTTGTTGGTGGTGTTGTTGTTGTTGTTGTTGCGGTTGTTGTTGCGGTGGTTGCTTATGCTGCTGTTGTTGCTGTTGTTGTTGTTGTTGTTGCTGTAGCTGTTGCTGTTGCTGTTGTTGTTGTTGCTGTTGTTGTTGCTGTTGTTGCGGTTGTTTGTTTATGTTGTTGTGGTTGTTGTTGTTGTTGCTGTTTATGTTGTTGTTGTTGTTGTTGTTGGTGGTGCTGTTGTTGTTGTTGTTGTTGTTGTTGTTGTTGTTGTTGTTGTTGTTGTAATGGTTTCACTTTCCAATGTTCGTCCAACATCCGGCTGTAGGAGGGGTCCTGCATGCGCCCGCCGCCGGGGAGGCCGCCCCTCCGAGAGATGCCGCCCTGCAGCGGCGCGGCGGCGCGGGCCGTGCGGCTGGCGGCGCTGCTGCTCGCGGGGCTGCTGCTCGCGCTGCTCGGCGCGCAGCAGGATGCCGCCGACGTGGGGGAGACCGCGGTGCGCTGGGACCAGGGCGTCGGCACCGCGGACCGCCCGGGAGGCCCAAAGGTCACCGCCCACCAAGTCGGCCCAACCCAGCCCGAAGGGGCCCCGACTTGCCCTCCATCTCCAGGGGGGGTGGGGCCGGGGAACGCTGAAAGAAGCATGTGAAACTCGTACCCCCTCCATCCCGAAATTCGGGCAAACTTCGGGTCTTCTGGCTGGATTGGGGTGGTCTGGTAGGTAACTCAAAAGTCTTTGGCCACAGGCCCTTTTTGAGACCAGGGGTGTGCTCTGTCGATCCTCGATGCCCTTGCCTCGTCTTCGCCCTTTGGGGCCTCCGCGGAGGCATTTGTCGCCACGGCTGGATTCGCGTCGACATTTGGTCAGAACGCACCCGGGTAGAGGTCCGTTGAGTATCAGTATGGGTATATTCTCGTTTCCACATTTGCGTCCGTAGGCCGTATGAGACAACGATAGGTAGCATTTGGGGGGTGGCCCTCGTCGCCACGGCTGGGCACAGCTCGGAACACTCATGCGTTTGGACCCGAGGATGGGGTCCAAAGACCGATTTGGAGCTGCCGTTGTCTCAACTCGCCTCCGCCGATGGTCTGGTTGCACGCACAAAGAAAGTGGCCCTTGGCCGTGGTGGCCTTTGGTGCGCGGCTTTCGGGGGTGCGGGGGGGGGGGCGGCGCCACGCCCGAGCACGCAGGCGCCGCTACCGCCGCATCGCACGCGGTTCCGCCAAGCCGCGCACCAGAGGCAACTCTTGCCGAGGGCCGCGCGCCTTGCGTGTAGCTGGCGTTGGCCCCCGGGGCCTCCTGCAGCCCATCGGGGCCTCCTGCGGGGCCCGTGCGGACCCCTGGAGGCCCCTGGGCCCCTGACCCCGGCGTTCAGGAGCGGCTGTCGCGGGCCAAGCCTCTCTGCTGGATGCACGCCCCGAAGACGAGCAGCTCCATTGGGAACACGATCATGCGTGCTGGCTGCCCGCACGGAACGTTTGCCGAGGGCCAGCCGATCGTCAAGCAGAGCGTTCTGGGCGCCGTGAGGAGCAGCGACTTCAAGAACAAGTGCGCCGCAGATTTCCACAGCGCGTACAGCTCGCCGCCAGGACACGTCGGCCTGGGCGACGTGTGGGAGGACTGCAGGGGGCACACCGTCGCCATGTTCCGGCAGCCGGAGCAGCGGCTGCTCTCCGGCTGGAACTTCGGCGCGCACTCCGCGGTGCAGGCGCAAAGCCTCGCCGAGTATAGGGACATCTCCAGGGCGGACACGATGGCCACGACCAGGATGTCGTGGGATCTTGTCGACGATCTTGGCCATGGTCCATGCCGGCCGTTTGCCGATCCGCGAGGGTGATCCACGGAGCGACACGACCAAGACGGAGGACGGCCAAGATCGACACCGACGTTCCGCGTCCTGTTTTGGTCGTGGGCCTCGCTTCTTTGCCCTTCAGACATCGTGAAGGGGTGTCAGGTGAAGATGATCATGCGTGGTGGGGGCAACGCGTACCAGCCGATGACGGGACCGTGCGGCGACCCCGTGCCCGTGACGGAAGCGGAGGTCCGCGAGGCCGTCAGGCGGGTCCGGGAGGACTTCGTTTGGGTCGGCCTCACAGAGCGCTACGCCATGTCTGTGTGCCTGTGGCACGCCACGTTTGGCGGCGAGTGTGGCGCGGACGAGTTCACCAACTCCCGGGCGCACGGCAAAGGGCGAGAGAAGCGAGGATACACATGTAGAAGAAGAAACAACGGCATAGGCATACACGTTCGGAGCCCCGCGCGGATTTCTTGGATCGGCGTTGGACCCAGCTACGTGGCGCGCCAGGGGCGGCGACAGAGGCGCCGCATGGAGGGTCCAGCGCCGATTCACGAAATCTGGGCGGAGCTTTGACAGTTTATACCCACTGCTTCTCTTTCTCCTTCTAGCTTACGTCGACCACGATATTGCGGCGCTGGGGGGCTGGAAGGACGAGGCGGACGGAGCGCTCCACGCGGCAGTGGTTGAGCGCTTCGAGGCGGAGCTGAGGGCTCTTGACCTGGACGAGGAGGTGTGTGGAGCACGGGTGTGCCCGCGTGGCTCCGCGCACTTCAGGTAGGCGACCGGGCCGCCCTGGTCCTCCTTCCTCGCCCTCGGGTGAGGAAAGTCCGCCGATGCTGCTACCATCCTTCCCTCGCCGCCACAGCTGGATGTTCGTCGAAGTCCTGGGTTAGAGCGCACTCCTTCTTGTCATCCACGTCCCAGCCCTTGCCCCCTCTCTCGAACAGCGAAAAACGCGTGAACATAATGTTTTGGTGGTCCGCGCGGGCTTTCATGGTCAGCGCTCTGCTCGCTTCCCTGGCGCTCGAAGCGCGCCACGGGGGTCCAGTCCCGACCCACGAAACTCGCGCGAACCTCCGAAAGCTTCTTGCATTGCCGTCTTTGGTTGTTCTATGTTTTTTCCCTTCCCCGTCCCGTCCCCGCCTCGAGTAGGAGGAGGAGGAGGAGGAGGAGGATGAGGAGGAGGAGGAGGAGTATGATGATGATGATGATGACGATGACGATGACGATGATGATGATGATGATGATGATGATGATGATGATGATGATGATGATGATGATGATGATGATGATGATGATGATGATGATAATGATGATAATGATGATAATGATGATGCTGATGGTGATGATGGTGATGTTGATGATGCCGATGATGATGCTGCTGATGCTGATGATGATGATGAGGAGGAGGAGGAGGAGGAGGAGGAGGAGGAGGAGGAGGAGGAGGACGAGGACGTGGACGAGGACGTGGACGAGGACGAGGAGGGCGAGGACGAGGAGGAGGAAGAGGGGTTGGAAAGCAGGATGAGGAGGACCTTGAGCGGGAGCAGCAGCCGAGGAAATCGATTACGGAGGAGGAGGATGGGGAGTTCCCTCTGCCCCCCTTTCTCCTTCCCTGCACCACAGCATAGCTCTCTCCTCCTCTTGCCCCCCTTACATCCTCCTCGCCACGTTTCCCCCCCTTCGTGCGCGTCTCCCCATGCACCGTTCTTGATGCGCATGCCGGATTGCGCTCGAGCAGGTGGGGGGGGGGGGCGACCAGGCATGCACAGTTCTTGATGGCGCATGCCCGATCGCGCTCGGGCGGGGAGAGGGGCGACAGGGCATGCGGCATTCCCGATGGGGCATTCCCGATCGCGCTCGGGCGGGGGCGGGAGGGGCGACAGGGCATGCACCATTTCCGGCGTGGCATGCCGCATCGCGCTCAGGCGGGGGGGCAGGGGGGGCGCGATCGGGTATGCACCGTTCCTGATAAGGCATGCCCGATTGCGCTCGGGCCTGGGGTGGCGGCGCCAGGGAGTGCACCATTCCCGACGGGGCACGTCTGATGGCGCTCGGCGGCGGGTGGGGCGACCTGGCATGCGCTGTTCCCCATGGGGTATGCCGGATCGCGCTCGGGCGGGGGGGGGAGGACGAGCGGGCATGCACCGCTCCTGATGGCGCATTGCCCGACCGCGTTCGGGCGCGGGGGGGGCGACAGGGCATGCGCCATTACCGATGGGACATGCCCGATCGCGCTTGGGCACGACGGAAATGCACCGTTCCTGGTGGCGCATGCGCGGTCGCGCTCGGGCTGGGGGAGAAGAAGACTAAGAAAACCGATCATGCATCGTTCCCGATGGGGCATGCCCGATTGGGCTCGGGCGGGGAGAGGGGCGACCAGGCATGCGCCGTTCCTGAAAGGGCATTCCCGATCGCGCTCGGGCGGGGGGGGGAGACAGGAGGGCATGCCCCATTATCGGCGGGGCATGCCCGATCGTGCTCAGGCGGGGGGGAGGTCGACTAGGCATGCACCCTTCTCCTCCTCCCTCCTCCTCCTCCTCCTCCTCCTCCTCCTCCTAGTGCGCGTGCGCCCAGGAGGAGGAGGGGAGGAGGAGGAGGCATGGAGGAGGAGGAGGAGGAGGAGGAGGAGGAGGAGGAGGAGGAGGAGGAGGAGGGAGGAGGGAGAAAGGGGAGAGGGAGGAGGAGGAGACGTATGAGGAGGAAAGGAGGAGGAGGAGGAGGAGGAGGAGGAGGAGGAGGAGGCAGAGGGAACGTGAGGAGGAGGAGGAGGAGGAGGAGGAACAGGAGGAGAAGAAGGAGGAAGAAGGAGGAGGAGTATGAGGAGGAGGAGGAGAAGAAGGCGGAGGAGGAGGAGGAGGAGGAGGAGGTGAGGAGGAGGAGGAGGAGGAGGAGGGTGAGGCAGCGGAGGACGAGGGAGAAGGACGGAGGAAGAGGATCACGAAGCTCATGATGATGTTCATGATGCTGATGATGGTGGTGTTGGTGGGGATGATGGTGTTGCTGCTGATGATGATTATGATGCTGATGACGACGACGATGGTGATGCTTATGATCATGCTGCTGATGATGATGCTGATGTTGTTGTTGCCGATGCTGCTACTGATGATGTTGCTGATGCTGATCATGCTGATGATGATGCGGATCATGCTGCTGCTGGTGATGGTGATGGTGATGGTGATGGTGATGATAATGGCTAACGCTGGTGCTGATGATGATGATGATGATGATGATGATGAGGCTGATGCTGATGCTGATGATGATGCTGATGATGCTGATTATGTTGATGATGATACTGATGATGAGGTTGCTGACTGTGATGATGCTGCTGATGATGCTGATGCTGATGGTGCTGCTGATGATGCTGATGCTGACGATGCTGGTGATGATGCTGCTGCTGATGCTGAGGAGGAGGTGGAGGAAGAGGAGGACGATCAGTGCAAAGCCGAGACGCACCGGGGATGTTGCATTACACCCTCCCTCCAAATTCCTTTCCCTCTTCAGAGGTGCCAGCAAGATTAGAAGAACAGCCTGATTATCGCTAATCGCACCACGACACCATTCAGTGCCGCGAATCGACGTTTCAGTTGCGTCCTGACGATCACGAATCGTGCGCACGGTCCCCAGTATTCCATTTGATTATCCGAAGCTGCTGAACACTTTTGAACCGAATGTGCGCGGCGCCAAGACAAGAGCCACATTTTGAAAACCATCCGCCTTCCATCCGTGAAGCCCTTGCACGCGTTTAGGACGAGTGTGCACGGCGTTGAGGCGAGAGCCATATTTGGCAAATGAGCCGCCTACCTCCGTGAATCCTTGGCAAACTGTTTTTGAGGCGAATGCGCGCGGCGCGAATGCGAGAGCCACAGGTGATAAACGACCGCCCTCCATTCGTGAAGCCATGGCCATCTCTTAAGTCGAATGCGCCTGCGCAAAGGCGAGAGCCACATGTTGAAAACCACCCGGCCTCCATTCGTGAAGGCCTGGCCAGTTCTTAAGACACGTGTACGCGGCACTGCTGCGAGAGCCACAGTTTAAAAATCACTCGCCTGCATCCGCGAAGCCCTGGCCAACCATCAAGGCGAATGTGCGCGGCGCTACCGCGAGAGCCTCGGCCCGCGAAGCTTCATCGTCATACATGGTGAAAGCGTCTCGGGCGAAACGCCTGGCCCGCCCTACAACACGTCTCGGGGTGCGACAATGGATGGATGGGGTCCTTGCAGGAGGAGAAGGGGAAGGATGTGGAGGATGAGGAGGGGGAGGAGGCGGAGGAGGAGGAGGAGCAGGAGGAGCAGAAGCAGCAGGAAGAAGAGGATGAGGAGAAGGAGGAGGAGGAGGAGGAGGAAGGTGAGGCAGAGGACGAGGAGGGAGACGTATAGGGCAGACAGATGAGGAGGAGGAGGAGGATGAAGAGGAAAAGGAGAAGTAGGAGGGAGGAGGAGTAGGATTAGGAGGATCAGGAGGAGGGATGGCGAGGAAGAGGAGGAGTGGGATGAGGAGCAGGAGGAGTAGGATGTGGAGGATGAGAAGGATGAGGAGGTGGAGGAGGGGGAGGGCGATGGGGAGGGGGAGCGAGAGGGATACTTAGCTGCTCCTCCTCGTGCCCTCCTCCTCGTAGTTCGCCTTCTCGTGCTCCTCTTCCTGGCCTTGCCGCCAGGACAAGCACCCCATCCTGTTGTCGCAGAGCACCAAGCCGGCGCGCCCCCCGCCGTCTCCTCGCGCGCATCCGCGCGAGCCGGCGACTGGCGGAGTCATATCTTTTTGCGGCGGGGGGGGAGGAGTGAAGAGCTGTGTGGGGGGCGGGGGATACGAATGGGGAGGGGGGTTTGAGGAGGAAAAGAAGGAGGAGGAAGAGGAGGAGGAGGAGGAGGGGGAGGGGGAGGAGGAGGAGGAGGAGGAGGAGGAGGGAGGAGGAAGGGAATGCGGGAGGAGGAGAAGGAGGAGGACGAGGAGGCGGAGGAGGGGGAGGAGGGGGAGAAGGAGAAGGAGCAGGAGGGGGGAGGAGGAGGATGGGGAGGGGAGGAGGGAATGAGGGGAAGCTGAGAATGAGGAGGATGATGAGGAGGAGGATGAGGAGGAGGAGAGGAGGAGGAGGAGGAGGAGGAGGAGGAGGGAGGAGTTGGAGGAGTGGAGGAGGAGGCAGATGAGGACGAGGAGGAGGAGGAGGAGGAAGAGGAGGAGGAGGAGGAGGAAGGGCGGTGGCAGGGAAAGAACGGATTATAGACGGGGGAGGTGCGAGGCAGGGGGGGGGGGCATGGGGAAGGAGGAGGAGGGCTGGGGGGGGGATGGAGCATCGGGGTCCAGGAGGGGTTACGAGGATACGAGGCCGAGGCGACGCGCTCGGTGTGCCGCCGCGCCCCGCAAGCCCGCGCCCGCGCCCGTGCCGTGGCACCGCGGTGGCGGGGGAGAAGGATGGGATGTGAGTCGGATAAATGATGGCGATGATGATGACGGTGATGGTGGTGAGGGTGATGATGGAGATGGCGATGAAGACGACGACGGCGACGCGGGCGACGGCGACGTTGATGATGATTGTTGATGATGATGGTGATGATGATGATGATGATGCTGATGCTGATGCTGAGGTTGATGATGATGCGGATGCTGACGCTGCTGCTTCTGATGATGACGGTCATGTTGAGGATGATGATGTTGATGGGGATGATGACGCTGATGATAATGATGATGATGATGATGACGATGGTGGTGGTGGTGCTGCTGCTGGTGATACGGATGTTGGTAACGATGCTGATGATGATGGTGATTGATGATAACGATGATGCTGATGGCGGTGGTGGTGATGATGATGACGACGATGATGATGATGCTGGTGATACTATTGCTGATGAGGATGCCTAAGCTGATGCTGGTGCTGATGCTGCTGTAACTGATGCTGATGCTGAGGGCGGTGGCGCTGATGATAATGATGCGGCTGATGATGATGCTGATGATGCTCATGATGATGTTGCTGATGATGAAGGTGATCATGATGCTGTTTCTGCTGGTGATGATGCTGATGACCACGAGGTTGATGATGAGACTGATGAGGATGCTGAGGATGATGATTATAAGGGTAACGGTGATGATGCGGGTTATGACGGTGAGGGTGATGATGTGTTCTATGAGGGTGAATGGTTACGGAGGGTCATTATGACGATGTTGACCATGATGATGTCGATGATGTTGTCGATTCTGATGATGACTATGATGGCGACGCTGCCGAACATGACGATGCTGATGGGTCTGCTTATAATGGCGATGTTGCTGCTGCTGATGATGATGCTGATTGTGATGATGATGATACTGATGTTTGTGATGCTGATGATGACGACTATGATGATGTCCATCGTGCTGACGATGATGATGTTGATGTTGTTGTTGATGATGATGCTGATGCTGATGATGATGATGATGCCGCGGCGGAGGAGGGCCATCAGGAGGGGGAGGATACGGAGGAGGCGGAGGAACATCAGGACTGCGATCGGGGATTTCAAACATTGGTGCGTGTTTGGTCGGTGTGGCTCTCCGAATACCGCCGCATGTATCTGATTTAAACTCTTCCAGCGGCTATGCAGATGCATCTCGGCTGGTTGTCAATACATGGTTTTCGTTGTATCCCCCGCAGGGATATCCGCTGTTCATGTTGGTCTGGTATTTGCGGAGTGTGGATCGCCTCGCAACGCGTGCTGTTTTGGCATGTGGTATGTGCATCATGTTGGGTTTGGGGAGCAGGCGAATTTATCATTTGACATGGTGGGAGACGGCAGCGTGGGCTGATATGCGCCCCACGTGGTTGGGTAAAGGGCGTTTTCTGGGAACAAACAAGGCACATCATGCGGTGAGGCTCTGGCCTCTTCGCCGCGGTCGGGCGCGTGGTCGGGGTACAGACAAACCGCACAGTAAGGATGAACGGCTTTCCAAGGTTACCCTTCTATCCTCCCCCTTCGGCCCAGCCTTGGCCGCTTTCGGTGGCCGCGCCCCGCTCGCAGAGTGTCGACATGGCCTTCTAAGGCATAAGCATCCTTGCCGAGCATCCCTACCAGACGGGCTGACTGCAAGCGGAGGGCGAGACGCAGTCTCTCTGAGACTGTGTAGAGTGTGGAGGAGGACGGTGGCAGAAGGAGGATGTGCATGAGGAGGAGGAGGCATAGGAGGAGGAGGAGGAGGAGGAGGAGGAGGAGGAGGAGGAAGCATAGGAGGAGGAGGAGGAGGAGGAGGAGGAGGAGGAGGAGGAGGAGGAGGAGGAGGAGGCGGAGGGAGTAGCGCCAGAGAAAACCCAAGAAGCATCAATCATGCTTCAACGAGCAATCCCGTCCCACGCCCCCTCTTCCTCGGAGGTTGGGGGGTGAGACCTCGAAGTGAAACGGAGACCCCCCACCGGGAAATCAGCTCCAGTTTCGTCTTCGTGTCATGCGTGCGGGCGCGGCGAAGTTGCGTAGGCGGGAGATCAGGCGATCACAAACATGGATCAAGGGGGCGTGGATTAGCGACGGGTCCCGTTTCCCTGGGAATCGCGGATTTCCGTCGCTGAGCGAGGCGGCACCGGCCGCACTTGGGGGAGGGCACCTCCGCCGATCCATGGATTAGGCGACCGCGCGCCAAATCCATGGATCGCTAATCCATGTTTGCGCGCCCCCGAGGAGAGAGAATTGAATTAGCCGTTGCTAGGGAGAGACTGGGTCCAATGACTCTACCCCTGGTTGGCCGGCGGTGGCCCGGGGGTGTCTCGCCGGTTTCCCCTAGTGTGAAGTCGGGTCTGTCCCTCTACAGGAGGAGAATTCCAAAATCCGCCTGTAGGGGGACATGCCCGACCTAACCGTAGTTTCCTGTGGTGTCCCGTGGGTGTCTCGCGGTGGCTCGCGGGTGTCCCGCTGGTGTCTCGTGAGTGTTTTGTGGTGTCTTTTCTGCTCTGCTGTGCTGATGCTCTGCTGTAGCGATGATCTGCGATGCTGTGCGATGCTATGCGATGCTGTGCTGTGCGATGCTGTGCGATGCTATGGTGTCTGATGGCGTGGGGGTGACCCGTGGTGTCCCGTGGTGTCCCGTGGCGCAGGCGTGCCCCGTGCCATGCTATGCTATGCCATGTCGTCGGTGGTGAGATCGGTCGTGCGATCGATAGTGCGATCGATAGTGAGCTCGATCGTGAGATCGATTGTGAGATCGATCGTGAGCTCGATCGTGATGTCGATTATCAAAACGATGGTGAGATCGATCGATCGTGCGATCGATTTGTATATATATATATACAAATATCGATAACAATGTCGATGGGGGGTTCGATAGCGAGATGGCCAGTGAGATTGATAGTGAGATCGATAAGTAGATCGAGAGCCAAGTCGATAGAGGTATTGCTAGATTGGTTGATATGCAGATCGAAAGTGATATCGATGGCTATATCCAGAGAAAGAGGGATACCTGTAGTGAGATCGGTAGTGGTAGCGAGAGCGAGAGTGAGATCTATAGTGTTTGCCTGTGGTATTCCGTGGTATCTGGTGGTTCCCTGTGGCTTGACTGTTCTTATTCTACATGACAGAGCGCTCGGGCAAATACATGCCACCTAGTTCTGCTGGGTACCCCGATGATTCCCGCGGTATGCCCCGACTCGTTCCCGTGGTGTCCCCTGGTGCCCCGTGAGATTTCTATTTTGATCGATAGTGACGTCGATTGTGAGATCCATGGTGAGATTGATAGATAGTGAGGTGGATCTGTAGAGGGAGATCGACGCAGAGATTGCTAGTGAGATCCGTAGATCGAGAGCGAGATGCATAAGGTTCTCGGTGGATTCATCGACATTGATTTGGATAATGGAATGGACGGTGGGATCGGGTGAATGTAACATCGATAACTCGAAAGACATCGGTAATGATATCGATAGTGATGTCGATAAGAACATCGATGGTGCGATCGATGAACAGATAGTGGGTTCGACTGTGAGATGGAAAATGGGGCTGATTGATACTGAGTCTGGTAACTTGATAGTGGCTCACGATGGTGTTATTGAGTTGCCCCCGCGGTAATCCGTCTTCACGTCACATGAGCGGTCGATCGCCACCTTTTCAGCGCATCACCAGCCTCGCCACCGTCTCAAACAGCGCAGTTATCATCAGTTGGTTCCTGATGCTGCCCCGATGCTTTTTGATCTCCACTCGCTCGGCTGGGCGAGCGGGCGCCATGGCAATTGAAGCGTACCTCCTGGAGCACCGCGCCAACAGCATCTCGTGGCACGCCCTGCTTGGCAATCATGCATCCACGCGCCCAAACTGTCGGTGACAAGATAATGGAGGCTACCACGGCGCGCAAGGCCTTTCCAGCACCATGCTCTGCCAGTGCTTGCTGGCAGTGCACTATTAAGTGGTCGCGCGGCTTCGCCAACGGAGATGGCCGCCGTTTCGTTATGCACGGGGAGGGCGCAATGAAACAATGATCGTCCGAGCTCGCATGCTTCCACGCGGTTGACGCTCTCATCCGTGCGTCCCCGTCAGAGTTCTTGATTCGCCTAGCGCGCTGGGCAGTCATTTCGGCCCAGCTGTTGGCCAATCTACCCGGTGCCGACCCAGGGCACCAGCCTCTGCCAGTGCTCGCCCTGGCGTGCCTGCAGGGTGCAGGCGCGGAGGCTGCGACGCCAGACGCTGACGCGTGCCAGGTTTGCCTTTTGCGCGAGTGTCTGCGCGCGCACGGCAGGGGTCTGCCCCCACGTGGACCAACCGTTAGAAGATGGGGCCCCGACCAAGCGATGCGCGCGTGCGCATGTTCAATAAGCTCCTGCCGCCCAGGGGTCTGCAGACATTCGTCCTGAACCGCCCCGAGTTTTGCGGGAAGAATAACCATCGCATGGGAGGAGGGTAAGGTCGCGCGGGGGGCGCGCGCGGACGTCGCGCTGGAGGCACCAAGGGTTGCCAGTGCGTCGGGCGCCGCCGGCTTCTCGGGGCCACGGCCGCCCCTTCCGCAGGGAAGTGGCGTTGGGCGAACGCGGGGCGGTGGGAGTGGCAGAGCTGGCAGCGTGCGTGGGAACGGGGTTGGGCGGGAAAGGATCGGGTGGCCAGCAGCACGCGGCGGAGCCTTTCCTGGCTGAGCTGCCACCGGGGGCGGCAGGGGCGACTGGCCGGGCCGCCGCGGCTCCGTCCGGCGAGCCGTTGCCGCCGCCCTCGCTGCCGCAGACGGAGCGTCGCCGAGGCGCTCTTCGACGGAAGGCAGGGGCGGGGGCGATGATCTGAGGCGCCACGCGCTCGGGGGGCTGGCGAATCCGCTCGCCCGGGGCGGGGGGGGTGGCCGCGCGGCGTTCGTCACCGCCGCCCCTCGCGCGATGTGCGCTTGGCCTGGCTACCCGCGGCGCGCGGGCCCGCGGGCCGGGCCCACCGAACCGAGCCGCGGTGCCAGGGCCAAGACGCAGCCGCCGACAGGACGTCGCCGCCGACAGGGCTGCCGCGCAGGTGAGGACACGCGCCCGCTGCGGCGTCTGCGAACCTTTCCAACGAGTGACCCGCGGGCGCTGCTGGCAGATCCGTTTTCGGGGTCGTCGTCGGCGGCAGCAATTGAGCACGTCGCATCAGTAGCTTTTGGAAGTGTGCCAGGCTCTGCCGGCGCCTACCTTCCAATCGATACTGCTCTCCGCCGTGCGCACGTACCTCCGCATTCGTGCGAATGCGGGGCGCGTGAGTGCGTCGCCGAGGCGAATGAACGAGTACCACTGGCATGTGCGACTCAGCGATCGCCAGGCTCTGCCCGCGCTGACAGCGCCTGTCCTAGCTGCTAGCTGTCGCTGGCGGATACGGACGGTGATTTTGGGATGCGCGCGCGCGCTCGCGAGTTGGTGCGTGTTGGCGCCAGAAGCAAAGAGCCGCTTGCTGCGCTTCTCAAGATGATGCACATGGGGGATATCGCACTCACCATCATCATCATCGTCCGCATCGCCACCATCACCACTGCAAACCAGTCTAGCTCAAGTTCGCCCGTCATTGCGCGACAATGCCTTCGACCATATGGCGCGCCGCAGGGGTCACTGGCAAATGAATTCCACGTTTGGCAATGGAGGTGGCATCTATTCCCGGATAAGCTCTCTGAGAGATAGGATGGTTTCAAATTTGAAGCCGGCAGCACAGGGTAGGCCAGTCCCTCTCCAAGGCTTCCAGTCAGGCATCCCCGCAGCCCCTTGGCTTGAATTCGCAGCGTGTTACAGCCAGTGTATTCCTACTCGTTCCAAATACGCGTGCCTCAAGCCTTTCCGTATCCGACCACGGGCGATGATAAAACATACCCCCCTTGACCCCCTCTGTTTTGTATTACCCCCGTTCAACATGATTTAATTGTGGAGAGGGGCGCGGAGGCCGAATTTTACAATCCACGGGGGAAGTTACGAATCGAAGTTGCTATCATCTCATGTCGAGTAGCAACAGCAACAGCAAGTTGCATAGCCACGAGCATCGAGATCTCTCGAGTCAGTCTTGTGCCGAGCGCCGAGGATCACCATCAACATTATCATCGTCGTCATCATCATCGTCATAACTTACCTTCCCTGGGAATATCCTTTTTTATTATTCCCGCCAGACCCCCGAACTTGATTGTCCCCCGGTGATGATTATCGCTCGTGGTCGGTTAGTCCTTCGCAGCTCCCTCGAAGCTCCTTCGAAGCTCGCTTTTCGAAGCCTGCAGGTTCTCCAAGCATGCTTTCCAGTGTCCCCGCAAGCGTCTCTTCAAAGCTTGCAAGCACCCCAGGCATGCTTTCGGGCGCCCTGGCAGGCGTCTCCCTGAAGCTGTTCACTGCTCTCGCAGCTCAGAGTCCTCCAAGCGTCTCCCAAAAGCAGTTCACGGCTTAGAAACTGGACCTGCTGAACCCATCGCGGCCTAGAAATTGCAGACTTCCGGATATCTCTGAGAGAGCTAAGTGGGTTTCAGATAAAGGAGCCGGAGCCGCAGGGTAGCCCCGGAGGTCGTTCCGGCTTCCGTGAAAATTCCCGGAGCGCCTTGTCCGAACCTCCAGCCGCTCCCGAGAGGCCTGTGTTCGAAGTGTTTCTTAAGACGCGTGCCCAGAAGCTCCCCAGAAGGTCTTACGGAAGCTCTCTTCAGGTTTTCCCAGAGTTCCCCCGCAGGGTTTTCCACGTCCTTCTGGTGCCCTGCTATCCGTGTCTTGGACCCCACAAGTTTGCCCATGATGGCGGTGGTGACGCAATCACCGGTGTGACGGCGCCATCGCGGACGTGTCACGTCATTGGCGCTTGCTATGTCCCAGCCAATTGGTCAGGCACGAGGAGTTGCTACTACAAGCGTACGTTTTCCTGGGGGACTCCAAGGTTCGAGGTCGCAAAGTGCGAGGGTGTGGCCCTAACGACACCTCTGGTTGGGGGTGAAGGGCTTGGGGGAGGCGGGTGATGAGGGGGAGAGGAGGAACGGAGGAGGAGCAGGAGGAGGATGAGGTGCGTGGGAGGAGGAGGAGGAGGAGGAGGAGGAGGAGGAGGAGGAGGAGGAGGAGGAGGAGGAGGAGGGGAGGAGGAGGAGGAGGAGGAGGAGAGGAGGAGGAGGAGGAGGAGGAGGAGGAGGAGGAGGGGGGAGGGGGGGAGGAGGAGGAGGAGGAGGAGGAGGGGAAGGTGGATGAGGACCAGGCGGGGTGCATAAGAGAGGGTCTTCCCGAGGCCGTGCGGGACCTGTCGCGCATCTTCGGCCCCCGCGCGTTCGTGGAGTGCGTCGTGAAGGCGCCCCCCGGCCGAGCCTCGCGCTGTAGCGTTCGGGGGGCCCCCCCGGGGTCAAGCGTCGCAACAGAGACGCGACGGCCGGCTGCGTTGCGTGTTCGACCTCCGCCGGGGCCTCTGAGCAGGGCAGCGAGATCTGCACATAGCGCTTGCTGCGGGCCTGTACCGCCCCGGGCCCACGAGCAGTGCATAGGACTCCTCGGCCAAGCTAGGAATGCGTATGCACCGCTCGTAGGCCCAGGATTGGCAAGGCCGTTGGGACTGGGTACAGTGGAGGCCCGTGCCAAGAAGCACCCTGCTTGCCTCCAGGGTGCCCTGGGTTTCTTGGCATTCGATGGGTTTGCCGTGGAACGCGTGGCGTTCCCTCACCAACAATCCCGTGGACGTCCTCGGGTCTCAGGGTTGGGTTTCTGGTGGAGGGTTTCTTGTGGACGGGCCTCCACTGTATGTACAGATCTCGCCGCCCTGGAGTCCCTCTTCATTGTGTAAGGCCCGCGCCTTCTAAGAAGCAGGCTCCTTCTACGAAGCCTTCCCCCCTCCCCCTACCCCCTTCTGCGCGCCGCCAAGGGGGGCGACCTGCGGCAGGTTCGCGTCGTGCCGACTCGCCGCGGCCCCGCCGCGGGCGGTCGAGGCTGAACGCGCCGCCGGTGGCCCAGAAGCGGCCCCACGCCAGGGTCGTCACGACACGATCCAGCCGTGCGTGGGGGGTGGAGGCAAGGGCCTTGCAGGGGCCCTGCAGGGCCGCTTCTGGTCGGGAGCGGAAAAGAGGGGGGTGATGACTAGGGGGGGGTGGATATCATGGCGGGGGCCATGATATCTCCCCAGATTTCATGGCGCCTCTTCTTGTTTCATTACGTCCCTGGCCCCCCCGCTGGGCCGCGCACATGCCGCCGGTCATGATTTGCGCCCCCCCTCTTGGACACCCCCCTCTTGGCCGCTCCCGATCTGGGGCCCACCGGGGTCCAAAAGGGGCCCCCAAAGGGCCCGTGCATGGCCCTTCTCTCCTCCCCGCCATTTAGGCCCCCCCCCCCACTGCCACCCGCCCAAGAGCAGGCCGTGAGTTTCAGGGCCCCTGGCACACCAGGGCACTGCGGACTCCCTGGGGCAAGATTACACCAGGAAAAAAGCCAATCAGTGGATAGTTTTTCGATGAAAGGGGATCGACCGGGAACCCGGGAACACGGAACCCACCGAAATCGGCCCGGAAATCCAGGAACCCGGGAAGCCCGAAACCGGAACCCTTTCTCCTCCTCCTCCTCCTCCTCCTCCTCCTCCTCCTACTCCTCCTCCTACTCCTCCTTCTCAACAAGTCCCCGTTCCAGGAAGCCCCGAGAGTGCGCAGCGTTGGGTCTTCCGAGATGCTCCCGGCCTCCGGGGGGCAGCCTTTCTCTCCGGGTGCGCCGCCAGGCCGTCCGCAAAATGTTCCAGGAGCCGCAGACGGGCCGAGATTGAAGTCGGGCCTGTCTTTCTACAGGAGGAATGGTCAAACCTCAATCTCGGGAAAAACACAAATCGCCAAAAATACGCAACTAGAGACGATCTTCAAACCATTTTTTCGATTGTTGCGTATTTTTTTGGCGATTCGTGTTTTTCCCGCAAAGCTTGCCTGTAGGAGGACATGCCCGATGCCCGACCTACGCCGAGGTGAGAGGGTGGAGGAGGAGGAGGAGGAGGAGGAGGAGGAGGAGGAGAAGGAAGAGAAGGAGGAGGAGGAGGAGGAGGAGAAGGAAGAGGAGGAGGAGGAGGAAGAGGAGGAGGAGGAGGAGGAGATTCCCAGCGGGCGGCATGGAACAAGTCGACGTCCGAGGAGATGGACAAGTGGACAGCTGTGTCGCGTTGGGCGTCGATGCGGCGGCGGCCTCGGCGCGGGCGCTCGAGGTTGAGCGCCTCCGGTGGCCTATTGGATTCGTCCGCAGGGGTCTGCACTGTCGGGGCGCCGCGATCCTTCGAGGTCGAATGGCCCGCGCGGTGTCGGAGCCCAACGCCGCATCCGTCACGACATGATCTTGCCGTGCGCGCCGTGCGGCACCTGTGCGCCACGAGTCCGGTCCAGTCGTCCAGTTCTGCTCCCCACTCTCCTCCTGCTCCTCCACCCTTCCTCCCCCCCCGCTCTCCTGACACTCTCCCTCTCTGCCTCCCCTTTCTCTCCTCTCCCTCGCTGCCTCGCCCTGCCTCTCTCGTCCTCGATCTGTCTTTCTCCATCTCCTTAGAGCCCGTTCTTTTATTGCTTGGGGCATGACGGGCATCATGGCCCCCGCTCCCCCCCCCTATGACGTAACGCTCCCCCCCCCCAGTGCGCTCCGGGCACTGCCGCCGTGCGTTTTGGGATCCGCGTAGGTGTCCGCGTAGGAATCCGCGTAGGAGTCTGGTCCGCAGTCGTCGCCGTCGTCGTCGTCGTCGTCGCTCGTGGCTTGTCGCTCGTCGCTCATTGTCGTTGTGCGCGCGGACGCGGCTGAAGCCTGTATTTTATTCCGGGCCGATAACGGCAATCATCTAGTGGGGGGGTGGAGGCGGTCGATGTCGTCACGTTTCGCGCCGGCGGCGTTTGGGAATGCTTAGGAATGACGGAGGACGGGCAGCGCCAGCATGTACGTGGCGATTTGCACCATAACGCCCGTGTGCACCACAGTGCCTGCGTGCACCATAGCGCCTGTGTGCACCACGCCGCCTATGTGCACCACAGCAGCCGCGTGCAACACAGCGTCAGTTTGTGCCAGCTGCCACCGTGCCTGCGGGCACTACAGCTGTTGTGCACACCACAGCGCTTGCGTACACCACATCAGCCGTGTGCAACACAGCACCAGTGTATACCACAATGCCTGCGTGCATTGCAGTGCGTGTGTGCACCACGGCGCCTGTGTGCACCACAGCAACCGTGTGCAACACAGCACCACTGTTGCATATATAATGTTCTAACGAATTCTTCTGACAAAACGGAGCGTTTGTGTATTCCACAAACATCAAGAGAACATACTCATTATGGACAACGGAGCGCCGCTGGAATCTACGAGTCCTCCCGAGTCCGCCCGCATCACCCTAACTCTTCCCATCTGCGTCCACGAGGCTCC